AGGGGTGCCCAGCATGAGGACTGTCAACGTTTCTTTTTCTCCAATGCCAAAGTTAACCAGTGGGCCGTCCAACACAGGCAAGCCGATCCCCACCAGGCCTTGGTTACCGCTTACTGCCGCCACGATGCTCGCGGGCTACGTAGGTGCATTATAAATTCCTCGCTTTCCCAAGGCACCCCAAAGTGAATCCGAGGTGAACGTGTGGAGAGAGGATGGGAGGCGGAGGTGTAGGACAGTGTTCCAGTAGAGGGTTAAGGACTGGCACCCTCTCTGTCCCTCGCTGCTCTGTGAACTTTATGGTTACTTAACCACCTCTGTTTTCCTACAAGAATACATGTAGGCCGAGCACGGTGGCTCATGCCTGTAATCCCAGCACTTTGGGAGGCCGAGACGGGCGGATCACGAGGTCAGGAGATCGAGACCATCCTGGCTAACACAGTGAAACCCCGTCTCTACTAAAAATACAAAAAAACTAGCCGGGCGAGGTGGCGGGCGCCTGTAGTCCTGGCTACTCGGGAGGCTGAGGCAGGAGAATGGCGTGAACCCGGGAGGCGGAGCTTGCAGTGAGCTGAGATCCGGCCACTGCACTCCAGCCTGGGCGACAGAGCGAGACTCCGCCTCAAAAAAAATAAAAAATAAAAAAAATACATGTAAACAGCATTTGTCACATACCGTATTTTCCCATCTCTTCACTTTCTCACCCACAGGAGGAAGGCAGAATTTGGGAACTCAGTTAAAGTTGGTGCCGAGACCCTTACTCCAGGCCCAGGACTCCTGGCTGGGCGGTGTTCCTTTGTCAATCCCCTCAGCCTCACAGAGCCATAGCTCAACCTTTATAATCTTCTCCGTCCGAGTCTCTTCCTAATCCCCTTAAAAATATCTGTAATACTTACAACTTTTTTTTTTTTTTTTGAGATGGAGTCTCGTTCTGTCGCCCAGGCTGGAGTGCAGTGGCGTGATCTCGGCTCACTGCAAGCTCCGCCTCCCGGGTTCACGCCATTCTCCCGCCTCAGCCTCCCAAGTAGCTGGGACTACAGGCTCCCGCCACCACGCCCGGCTAGTTTTTTGTATTTTTAGTAGAGATGGGGTTTCACCATGTTAGCCAGGATAGTCTCGATCTCCTGACCTCGTGATCCACCCGCCTCGGCCTCCCAAAGTGCTGGGATTACAGGCTTGAGCCACCGAGTCCAGCCATGACTGGCTAATTCTTTTAAAAAATTTTATAGGCTGGGTGTGGTGGCTCAAGCTTGTAATCCCAGCACTTTGGGAAGCCAACGCAGGAGGATCACTTGAGGTCAGGAGTTCGAGACCAGTCTGGCCAACATGGTGAAACCTTGTATCTACTAAACATACAAAAATTAGCCGGGCCTGGTGGCAGGGGCCTCTAATCCCAGTTTCTCAGGAGGCTGAGGCAGGAGAATTGCTTAAACCCCGAAGGTCGGCTGGGTGCAGTGGCTCACACCTGTAATCCTAGCACTTTGGGAGGCCGATGTCGGTGGATCACCTAAGGTCAGGAGTTCAAGATCAGCCTGGACAACATGGTGAAACCCCATCTCCACTAAAAATACAAAAAAATTAGCTAGGCGTGGTGGCGGGCGCCTGTAATCCCAGCTACTTGGGAGGCTGAGGCAGGAGAACCACTTGAACCCGGGAGGCAGAGGTTGTGGTGAGCCGAGATTGCGCCACTGCACTCCAGCCTGGGTGATAGAGTGAGACTCCGTCTCAAAAACAAACAAACAAACAAACACACGCAAAAACCTGGGAGGTGGATGGTTCAGTGAACCGAGATCATGCTACTCCACTCCAGCCTGGGCAACAGAGTGAAACTTTATGTGTGTGTATGTGTATAGAGGCAGGGGTCTTGCTATGTTCCCAGGCTGGTCTCCAACTTCTGGCCTCTGGCAATCCTCCCAGCTTGGTCTTCCAAAGTGCTGGGATTATAGGCATAAGCCTTCGTGCCTGGCCCATGCAATACTTTCTTGTATCTATTTCTTTTTTTTTTTGGACACGGAGTCTTGCTCTGTCGCCCAGGCTGGAGTGCAGTGGCGCATCTCTGTTCACTGCAAGCTCCGCCTCCCGGGTTCACGCCATTCTCCTGCCTCAGCCTCCTGTGTAGCTGGGACTACAGGCGCCCACCACCTCGCCCGGCTAGTTTTTTGTATTTTTTTAGTAGAGATGGGGTTTCACTGTGTTAGCCAGGATGGTCTTGATCTCCTGACCTTGTGATCTGCCTGCCTCAGCCTCCCAAAGTGTTGGGATTACAGATGTGAGCCACCGCACCCAGCCGTATCTATTTCTTTATTATTATTTTTTGAGACAGTCTCGCTCTGTCGCCCAGGCTGGAGTGCAGTGGCGCAATCTTGGCTCACTGCAACCTCTGCCTCCCTGTTTCAAGCGATTATGTCTCAGCCTCCCGAGTAGCTGGGATTACAAGCATGTGCTGCCACACTTGGCTAATTTTTGTATTTTTTGTAGAGACAGGGTTTCACCATGTTGGCCAGGCTGGTCTCAAACTCCTGGCCTCCAGGTGATCCGCCCGCATCAGCCTCCCAAAGTGTTGGGGTTGTAGGTGTGAGCCACTGCGCCTGGCCCTTTTTTTTTTCTTCATACAATACTTTCTTAGTTGAGGTGTTTTATAGATATTAGCTCCCATTGAACTTTTCTGTCTGGTGAGTTAACAGTGGTCTCATAGCGAAAAAATTCCTGTAAATCCTCTATAAAAAGATGCGAGCATGTCAAAAGCACCGTTTTATGCACAATTTAGATCAACTGCAAAGCATTGTCATCTACTCATCAAAGTTCCTCAGCGTCTACTTTGCTAGTCTGGGCATTACATTCACTTAAATTCCTTCAGTATCTTATAAGGGACCTGTGTTTCCCACCTCTGACTATTTATTATGAAATGTATACAAGTAACTAATGTGAAATTAACACATAAAATCCATACGTCCTTGAGGCTGTGATGTCTTCATGGTCTGAGTTGAAGTTATTCTCACGCCTACATGCCCCTGCCCATCTGTTACGGCACTGTGGGTACAGCCTCTGCTTCCTGGCACACACTGTCCTGTGCTAAGAACTTCCTGGTAGCAAAATGGCCACCAACGTGCAATCATCTCCTTAATGAGAAGGTGTTTTTCTTTTTTTAAAACAGTTTATTTTGCCATGCAATGCTCAAAGCATGTTTTGGTTCGAATACAACTTTTGGTTCCATTTTATAGTAATCAAAAGGACCGGGCATGGTTGCTCACGCCTGTAATCCCAGCACTTTGGGAGGCCAAGGCGGGTGGATCACTTGAGGTCGGGAGTTCAAGACCCAGCCTGGCCAACATGGTGAAACCCTGACTCTACTAAAAATATGAAAATTAGCTGGGCATGGTGGCACATGGCTCTAGTCCCAGTTATTTGGGAGGCTGAGATAGGAGAATCACTTGAACCCGGGAGGCAGAGGTTGCAGTGAGCCGCGATCATGCCACTGCACTCCAGCCAGGGTGACAGAGGGAGACAGACACTGTCTCAAAAAGAAAAAAGGAAGACAGTTACATGTCTTCAACGTGAGATCTTTTTTTTTTTTTTTTAAAGTTGGAGTCTTGCTCTGTCACCCAGGCTGGAGTGCGGCGGCGTGATCTCAGCTCACTGCAAACTCTGCCTCCCAGGTTCAAGCAATTCTCCTGCCTTAGCCTCCCGAGTAGCTGGCACTACAGGCACATGCTGCCACGCCCAGCTAAGTTTTTGTATTTTAGTAGACGGGGTTTCACCATGTTGCCCAGGCTGGCTGTGAACTCCTGAGCTCAGGTAGTCTGCCCACTTTGGCCTCCCAAAGTGCTGGGATTACAGGCATGAGCCACTGTGTCCAGCCCAACTTGAGATCTTAGAAGCAGAAGCCTCTCCATGGCACATTATCCAGGGACAGCTCATTCTATGTTTTTAACATGCTAGAATTTCAAAGATAGCATCAAACACATGCTCTGTGGAGAAAAACTCCACTAAGCATCTGCAATTTTTTTTTTTTTTTGAGACGAAGTCTCACCCTGTTGCCCAGGATGGAGTGCAATGGCATGATCTTGGCTCACTGTAACCTCCACCTCCTGGGTTTAACTGATTTTCCTGCCTCAGCCTCCTTAGTAGCTAGGACTACAGGTAGGTACCACCACGCCCAGCTAAGTTTTTCTTTTCTTTTCTTTTCTTTTTGTTTGAGAGAGTGTCTCGCTCTGTTGCCCAGGCCGGAGTGCAGTGGTGCAATTTGGCTCACTGCAACCTCCGCCTCCTGGGTTTAAGTGGTTCTCCTGCCTCAGCCTCCTGAGTAGCTGGGATTACAGGGGTGCGCTACCATGTTAATTTTTGTATTTTTAGAAGAGACAGGGTTTCACCAAGCTGGTCAGACTGGTCTCAAACTCCTGACCTCGTGATCCGCCTGCCTTGGCCTCCCAAAATGCTGGGATTACAGGCGTGAGCCACTGCACCCCGGTCAATTTTTTGTATTTTTTTTAGTAGAGACGGGGTTTCACCATATTGGCCAGGCTCGTCTCAAACTCCTGACCACGTCATCCGCCCGCCTCAGCCTCCCAAAGTGCTGGGATTATAGGCATGAGCCACCAAGCCCAACCAGCACCTACAGTCTTTTTTTTTTTTTTTTTTTTGAGACGAAGTCTCGCTGCCGCCCAGGCTGTAGTGCAGGGGCGCGACCTCGGCTCACTGTCACTGTAACCTCCGCCTCCTGGGTTCAAGCGATTCTCTGCTTCAGCCTCCTGAGTAGCTGCAATTCTAGGCGCCCACCACCACGCCCAGCTAATTTTTTTGTATTTTAATAGAGACTGGGTTTCACCACCTTGGCCAGGCTGGTCTCGAACTCCTGACTTCATGATCCACCCACCTTGGCCTCCCAAAGTGCTGGGATTACAGGCGTGAGCCACCGCGCCCGGCCCGCATCTGCAATCCTATAATGACGAGCTGTTGAGCTAACTCTAAGTCATTAGCCAATCTGAACCATCTTCGAATCCAAGTAGTTTTACCATCTTTTATTATAAACACCATGACATTCCAAGTTTCCTCTTTTTGATCACAAATATAGGACTTTTTCTTCTCCTCTTAAGTATACAGCATGAGACACAGCGTTGGGGCTTTCCAGCTTTCTTACAGAAATTTCCTTACGACAAGCTTAGGGTTAGCATCCACAGACCATGCTCTCGGTCACATCCTTCGACATCTGGATTGCCCAAGACGGTTGCACAGGATGCAGACTCCAAAGAGGATGAGGTTGGTACATAAAGTTTTGAATGCCAGGATAACCTGAAACAGAGGCCCCTCCACTGCCCACATTAAAAGGCTGCACAACCAGGAGGGTGCCACTTTCTGGGTGTGAGCTTAGAGCTACTGCTCCCAGGCTCTAGCCCCACCCCTTGTCTGAATACATGGCTCAAGGCTTCCCTATGGCTGGAAAAGGAAAGAGGACGGTGGAGGTGTAAGAACCCAGCAGGCCGAGCAGGGGCAGCAATCCCCGGAGGCCTGGCCTGTGCTTCCCCTCCTGGGATGGGGTGAACCGGGGGCTGGTGGGGGGTGCCAGATGGTGGTCTTATTTTTACTTGGTTTAATTATTCTACATTTGATAACTCAAGGTTCAAAACTCTGTGCTAAAACTAGATTGGATGTTTCCAATTTCTCAGACACGTTCCTCGAATTTAGATTCCCACACCAAGTATTTAAGTATGTAAAATCAATACCTGAGAATGGAAAGGGTCCAAATGGAAGCTATTTGGGCCATGATTTCCAAATTTACCATCACCCCCCACCAAGACCAGCCTTTGCTGGAGGACTAGGGATAAAGTGAGTTCTCTGGGTTATCGGGGGTGGTAGGCTAGGGGATGAACAGCTCCCCCGCCGATGGTCCTCCTCTGTTGTATGGTTTTTGTGAACTTGTCTCACCCACTCAGTAAGGGAGCCTGGAACTGGACTCCAAGGGAGGCAGACCATGTGCCTAAATGCAAGTATCCTCCGAAGTGGGTGCCTTTCTCACTGCAACAGGGACTGGAGCTGGTGCTCCAAGGTATCTGTCCCTCAGCATTTCCTCAAAGGCCACACGGGACATGCTGCATGGCAGCCGCAGGATGTGGAGGGAAGTCAGGAAGCACCTCGCGAGCCTGGAGCACTCTTTGCCTCAGATTCTGGGAGCTGTGTATGTGGGGAGCCACCTGAACACGGGAAGCAGCCCTGCCTCTGGGGGTGGCAGCTGTGATGGACAGGGAGGATGGAGGAGTGGGCCACGTGCAGTTCCAGACCAACTGACGACCCTAACTGTGTGAGCAACATCCACCTGTGAGCCTCGAATGTGTGGGGCCAACGCTGAGCCGCCCACCTCAGTCTCTGGGAAGAAAAGCCTCCAGGCAGCCACTAAGTCTGGGCCACAGTTCCCAGCCACCACCCATGCCGCCACAACCATAACCGCAGCCCCAGCCTCTCCGCTATGAGTGAACAACCAGAACCATATCTTACAAAGAACAGACTCAAAAAATATATATAAATAAATAAAAACCTTAAACATTCTTACAGGGATCTTAAAGAACAGAATACATGTTAAAAACCTCAGTAATTTATATCAATTTTAAGCGGTACTTTATATACAATGGGGAGAAAAACACATGCATAGTCCAAATACAATGTTGAAAACAGCATTTTCATAACAAAAAACCCCGAACACTAAGTGTTAATACCATGTACATGAATTCAAGGACCACCCTTTTTGTCTGTTGCACACAGTTTATTTAACAATATGATATAAGAAATGAGTTGGTATTTTACCATTCTATACAGTGATTGAATCTTCTCGAGTTTTGTATTTATAGTAATTAGAGCGCTTGCATGATTTACACTAGAATTGCTTTTCCTCATTTCAAGTTTCACATAGAAGAAAGAAAAGAAGGCTTCTTCTCTAGTAACATTAGCATGGTCTAAGAGTGATCATCCCTATTTTTTGTCTAAAACCAGTTTTATCAGAGAAACAAAGCAACAATTTCTACATCTGCAAGACAAGTTTGGCTTCAGCCATTATGTATAGATAGATGTGTGTGGGTGTGTGTACGTGTGTGTGCACGCCGGAGTCAATTCCTATCGTCCAGGGGTAATACTGGGAGACGCCCACAGAGTTCACTATAGAAAAAAATCTTCCCGAAACATCAGAAAGTTATCGGGATACATTATAAGCTTGCATTATTTCAGGAATCAGTTCTGAATATTATTTTTCTTCTTACTTTTAAACATAAATGTTTAAAGTCTTGAAAATACAAATAAAAAATATGAATATAATGAACTTGTTTTTCCCGTTAAAAAAAGGCATGAGTCACCAGCAATGACGACAAAAAGAATCCAAACAAAACCCCCCTCCCCCCAAACAAAAAAAAAAAGGAAAAAAAAAAACCCCAAAAAAAAAAAAAAAAAAAAAACCCAAAAAGAGAGAGACCAGATATTTAAATCAACTGGTTTTTAACAAAAAAATATATTCTTTGTATTGTCTCTTTAAACATCAACCCACCCTTCCACGGCTTGGCGGTCGCAGTTCCATCCAGGAATAAAAAGAACCCAGACGCCTGGATTTTCAGTACAAAAGCTCCAAGAACATGAAAGGGAAAAAAAGTGATGCTCTCACAATGCTACAAGCCCTCCACAAACTTCTCTAGCGTGTCCCCCGTGGTGTCCCCGACCAGGGACAGTTCGCTGGACAGCGCGCTCCTGCTGGGGGTGTTCAGCTGGGGGAGCATTGCACTCTGTTCGGGGTTCCCCAAGTGTCCCTGATCTATGGAGCTGGCCATGGTGACTGCGAGTCCGGGGTGGGGGGAACCAGTCTGGGGTGAGACGTGGTGTGGCGAAGGCTGGGGCTGTATCCGTGGTGATGGGCTGGAATGTGGAGGCTGGGACTGGGGCCGTGGAGACTGGACAGGGGCTGGAGACCGCACCTGGTTACTAAGGGATGTGGCGATCTGCTGGCCAGGGAGATGCGAGGCCTGTGGCTGTCCTGAGAGCATGTGTTGCTGGGGGCTCATGGGGTTTGGCTGGCCTGGGGACCCAATCTGCTGCTTCATCTGCTGTTGCTGCAGAATCCGCTGCTGCAGGGCTTGCTGGATGTTGGGGGTGCTGTCTGCCCCCAGCCCTGGCTGCCCCATCTGGCCAAGCTGTCCCATCTGAGCCGCCATCTGGCCCATGGAGCTGCCCTGGAGGGGCAGATGCTGCTGCATGCGCTGCTGCGGCTGCATGGCTGGTGGGTAGCCTCCGGGTCCTTGAGGCTGCTGGAACTGGCCGTGCCCCGCCATGCCCCCAGCCATGCCGGCACTCCCTTGCTGCTGCTGCTGCTGTTGCTGCTGTTGCTGCTGCTGCTGCTGCTGCTGCTGCAGCAACTGCCTCCGTAGCATTTCTCGGTACTGTGGATTCATACTCGCCATGTTGGGGTTGTGTCCTGGGTTCATGATGTTCAAGGCCTGGCCCTGGGGGTTTAGGCCTCCCATCGCCTGCTGCTGTGGAGGCACGCCGGGCCGCGGCACAGCAGCCTGCATGGCATTCAGGTTCTGCAGGCTGGGCTGCTGGTGCATGCCGGGCTGGGGCTGCATGCCGGGCTGGGACTGGAGGCCAGGCTGGGGCTGCATGCCAGGCTGATTGGCCACGTACTTGGCTGTGCGCTGTTTAATAAAAGCTGCCATTAGCTGCGGGTTTGATTTGAGAATGTTCAGCACCTGCTGTTGCTGCTGAGGGGAGCTGGGCGACTTCAGGGTCCGCAGCAGGTCTTGGAGAGCGCTGGGTGAGATGCTCCTGGGCGGCTGCACGCTGGGCATCCGGGGCCCAGCCACGGCCGCCTGGGCCTGCATGGATATCACAGGCCTGGGCAAGCCTGGCATGGGCTGCTGCTGGGGAAGGGGTGCCTGCTGCCACTGCCCGGGAGGCATGCTGGGCATGACGGGCCCGCTCACCTGGTTGGGTCGGGGCACATTCAGGCTCACGGGGGCCATCTGGCTCCCCGGGGTCCCCATGCCCGTGCGTCCTGGGGGCATGCCGTTGTTGATGTTCACCCGGTACAGGTGCTGCTGCTGCTGGGCCTCACGCTCGATCTGCCGAGCCGCTTCCACCGCTGCAGGAGGGGGCTGGGCCGGGGGCGGGGGGGCCGGCACCTGGCTGGTAGGCTTCCCTGTGGACACCGTGGTGGGGGGCTGAGTCCGGGCCACGCTGGGGAAGCCAGCTGGTGACATGCTCACGGGTGAGGGTTGGGGCTGGGCGGGGGGCTGCGGCGTCTGGGGCGTGCTGGGCTGCTGCGTGGGGGTCCCGGGCGGTGCTGAGGTAGGAGAAGGCAGACTCTGCTGAGGCACGTTGCGGGTGTTCATGGTGGCCATCCGCCGGCGCATGAGCTGGGCCTGCTGCAGGCGGTGCTGGATCTGCTGCTGGCGGAGCTTGTGTTTAATGTTGAGGCAGAAGGGCACGGGGCATTTGTTTTCTTGGCAGTGCTTGGCGTGGTAGCAGCAGAGGGCGATGAGCTGCTTGCACACCGGGCAGCCCCCATTGGTCTTGCGCTTGCAGCCCTTGGTGTGCTGCACCACCCGCTTCATCTTCTGGCAGGATGGCAGCGAGCAGTTGGCGTTGCGGCACTGGCACGCGTGCACCAGTGACTGGATGCAGCGCTGGATGCTCAGCCGGCGCGACTCCTGGGGGCTCTTTGACTGTGGCTCGCCCTGGCTGCTGCCCTCGTCGTCCAGGCCCAGCCCCCACTTCACCATCTTATGGGCATGGCTCTTCGTGTTATAGCAGTTGATGCAGAGGTCGTAGTCCTGCAAGCAAGGAAAGGGGACAGGCCCGGTGTCAGCATGGGGCCCAGTACCACCAGGCACCCTGGCTGCTTCCCTACACCTCTAAGTCTGGGTCTGTGCCAGGAGACCCAGGCAGGATAGGAGACCCAGACAGGATGGGAGCACGGAAAGGACGGGAGCATGGACAGGACAGGATGGGAGACATGGAGAAGATGGGAGCACAGACAGGACGGGAGACCCGGACAGGACGGGAGCACAGACAGGTGGGAGACCCAGACAGGATGGGAGCGTGGACAGGTGAGCAACTTGGACAGGAAGGGAGCACAGACAGAACAGAAGCATGGACAGGTGGGAGACCCACACAGGAAGCGCGCACGGACAGGACGGGAATATAGACAGGATGGGAGCACGGACAGGACGGGGGCACAGTCAGGATAGGAGCATGGACAGGATGGGGGCATGGACCATCTATGTGTTGCTCCCAAGGACCTTCACTCCTGGGAACAGCCCTGAAGGCTCAAAGATAACCTGACCTATGGCCTGAGAAGCCCTGGCCTGTGAGCTCATGGACAGTAGACACCAGCCCCTGTTCCTTCTGACTTCCTCTGCCCTAGGAGTCACATCGGCCCCTGCCACAGCCTGTTCAACTCCTGTACTCAAACTATGAAGCCTGACAGTGAAAGGTTGAGGGAGGCCGGTCCCTCCCAAAGCGCCAATAGCTGCCAGGAAGTGCCTCTGGGAAGGCCTGGGCTATCCACAGCGCATTAGTGGGCCTTCCCCAATGCGCAAGCCCAAGTTACTGAAAACTGCTTGCACCTGGCAACCTGATGGAGTCCTAGGACCAGGTACGATGACTGTGTTCACAGAAAGATATCAAAACTGCCGTATTCAGAAACTAGAAACAGGACAAAGGAGACTGGAGAAAGGTGGAAAGCAGGAGAGGTGTGTGAGGGTGGGGAGAGAAGAAAGGCCCTCACTCTGCTGAGGACCCGTTCTGCCTCCCTACAGACACCACAGCAAGTAAGTGGGCTCCGGGTTGGCAGGTGATGGTGACTGTCCTGGGAGGGGATGGTGGGATCTGTCACCTGCCTGCCTTGCACAGCCTGACTCAGCCCATGCAAGGGACACCCGCGCCATTTTGCAGTGGGGTTAAAATTCCTAGCGGGCAGTGAGGGAGCATGACTGTGGGGTCTGTCGGGAACAAGCGACCAGAGGGGCCCAAGCCGCCAACAGGACAGTGGGTGTTTCCAGCCGTTTAGCAAGACTATAACTGGGCACAGCCAGGCCAGACTTCCCAGCACAGCCTCCCTCTGGCTGTCCCCAGGGTCAGGCCTGTGGCTGTGGCTACACAGAGTAGGTTTAGGAAACACACACGGCAACGCCTTCTGCCTTGTGACACTGTCCTACTTCTGGAGGAGTCAGTGCAGCCGCCGTCTGGTACAGACGCCAACCCTGGCACCCATGCAAAGGGATAGGATGCTTCGTCAGACCCCAGGCCAGCTTCGGGGGTGGGGGTGGGGGCAGCACAGGGCCTACCTCGCACACAGTGCAGTGCCAGCGTGTCTCCACGTGGTGCTTGCACTCGTTGCAGGTGTAGACAAAGCGGTCCTGGCCCTGGGTGTGCAGCTCCACCAGCATGCAGAGCGTGGACCACTTGGAGCGGCGCAAGGAGGAGAACTCCCAGTGCTTGTCTCTGGCAAGGGTGAGGAAGGCATCGCGCCCATCCATGAGGTCACAGCTGAGCAGGGGGTCGGGGTCGACGATGGGGGGCAGGGTGTTGATGACAGGCCCGGCATGCAGGTGGATCACAAAGAAGACCTGCAGGAGAGGAGGGGCTTTAGTCTCACACAAGGGATGTGGCACCTCCAGTGGTGAGCTCAGGGCAGGTGCTCTGAGCCAGCCTACACAAAAGGCAGGTGGCTGAGCCTGAGGGCCCTGATGCCTCGGGATGGAACGGAATTGGTGACACGTTGCATGGTGTCACCCTACTGGTCCACTTGGCTTCCTGGGGACCACTTCCCTCCCGCCACAGACCTGCACAGGGGCCCTCGACCGCCAGCTACAAGTCTTTCCTTCCTTTCGGCTGCAGCATCACAGCCCATGCCTACCTCCTTGTGCTTCTCCATGGTGGCATACAGCTTCTGGGACAGGTCATTGGACACGTTGGGCATGCTGGGCTTCTTCTTATTGGCGCGGCTGATGCTGCTTTTGTTCTTGTTAGTTTTCTTGTTGTTCTTCTTCTTGGCATTCTTGCTGTCACCCTGACTGCCCTGCAACAACATGCAAGGTTGTGAGACCAGGCAAGTGCCCCTCCACACTTGGCATGGATTCCCAGCTCCCAGGCCGTGGGCATCAGGAAGCTCAGGCCAAAGCAGGTCACTGCCAGGCAGACCCCACACATGCACAGCTACAGGTGGCTGCAGGTGCTGCTGCCTTCGGGACAGAGCAGGGCCTGTCCTCGGCTAGGCTGGTGCCATTATCAGCTTTATGCCACGTTGCCTCTAGAGTGGAAAACAGACGCAGAGTGCAAGTTCAGAAATTAACAAATTAGGGCAGTGGGCGCCGTTTCCACTGCACCACAACCAGAGGCGGAAGATTCCACGTCACAGCTGTGGTCAGCGGCTGCCTGCCTTGAGGAAGGTTCTACACACCCGAGAAAGCGAGAGCTCTCAGGAGACAGGAGAGCTGCTGATGGGAAAAGCAGCCGCCCCATCAAGAGCAGGGACTCCAAGGCCCCTGCAGGGTCCACTCAAGGCCTGCTGAGAGCAGGCTGGCTCCCTGCCGGGGCCATCAGTGCTGCACCTGACTGGCTGAAGTTGGGCTTGCTCTCAGCCCACAGGCTCCTCCTCTGGAAAGAACGCAGGCTTGTTACTCATTTACACTTCAACAGATAGCTTTATTTTTTTTGAGAGATGGAGTTTCCCTCTTGTTACCAAGCTGGAGTGCAGTGGTGTGATCTCGGGTTCAAGTGATTCTCCTGCCTCAGCCTCCTGAGTAGCTGGGATTACAGGCACCCCCCACCATACCTGGCTACTTATTATTTTTTTGAGACAGGGTCTTGTCCTTGTCACCCAAGCTGAAGTGCAATGGCGCGATCTCGGCTCACTGCAACCTCTGCCTCCAAGGTTCAAGCGATTCTCCTGCCTCAGCCTCCCTAGTACCTGGGATTATAGGCGCGGCCCACTACACCCAGCTAATTTTTTGTATTTTTAGTAGAGACAGGGTTTCACCATGTTGGCCATGCTGGTCTTGAACTCTGGACCTCGGGTGAGCCACCCGCCTGGGCCTCCCACAGTGCTGGGATCACAGGCGGGAGCCACCACACCCAGCCAGAGAGCTTAATTTTTAACAAGATGAGAGAGAGAGACTTGGTGTTCAAAGAGAGGGGTCAGTCCAGAGAGAATTCAACAATCCCGCCTCACTGACAAGGAGCCCCAGGAGCCCAAATGTCACGTGGGTCCTCCATGGGATTCGGGACAGAAAAGGGACATGAGGGGAAAACTGAGGAAATTGGAACAAAGTGTGAACTTTAGTTAATAATAATGCATCAACATCAACAAATGGCTCACCGTGGCAGCAGACGTGCCACGCTAAGACATTAGTAACAGAAGAAACTGGGTGCTGGAATATACTGGAACTCTCTGCTCAATTTGTGTGTCAGCCTTAAAACAAAGGAAGCCTTTTTTTTTTTTTTTGAGACGGAGTCTCGCTCTGTCACTAGGCTGGAGTGCAGTGGTGCAATCTTGGCTCACTGCAACCTGGGTTCAAGCGATTCTCCTGCCTCAGCCTCTTAAGTAGCTGGGACTACAGGCGTGCACCACCACACCCAGCTAATTTTTGTATTTTTAGTAGAGACAGGGTTTCACCATGTTGGCCAGGCTGGTTTCAGACTCCTGATCTCAAGTGATCTGCCTGCCTTGGCCTCCCAAAGTGCTAGGATTCCAGGCACAAGCCACTGCATCGGCCGGTGTCTATTTTTTTTTTTTTTTGAGTTGGAGTCTTGCTCTGTCACCAGGCCAGAGTGCAGTGGCGCGATCTCGGTTCACTGCAATCTCCACCTCCCAGGTTCAAGCAAGTCTCCTGCCTCAGCCTCCCGAGTAGCTGGGACTACAGGCACGCGCCACCACACCCGGCTAATTTTTGTATTTTTAGTAGACACGGGGTTTCACCATGTTGGCCAAGCTGGTCTCAAACTCCTGACTTCAAGTGATCCACCCGCCTTGGCCTCCCAAAGCGCTGGGACTGCAGGCGTGAGCCACCATGCCCAGCCTGGAAGTCTACTTTTACAAAATTGTAAAATAAATATGTTCATGAAATTAAGAAAATATAGACAAGTAATTTTTAAAAGTTTTGTTTTTCTGGTCTTCCTGAGCAGCAGTGTTCTGTGTTCTGGAGCTTTCCCTGGGTACGTTTGTCTCTGTGTTTGCGACATTCCTCATGAAGCTGGGAGTACATACAGGGAGCTAGTTCCATTTCTCACCCCACCTGACACTATCGCGAGCCTTTCCCCATTTCCCAGACTCGACAGCATGATTTTTAATGGCAAAGCAGTACTCCACCCCACGCACCGGCCCTCACTAAAGGGGACCCCCAGACCGAGCTCCTGGGGTGTTGCTGATGAAGGCATGTCCCTGCCCATTGTTGTCCATGAACCAAACACACACGGGACAGCAGGCCTACATGCCAACACCTCAGCATCCCGCCTTCCCTAGTACATGCATGTCTCCGGTGCACAGGGAAGGCTGCCCCAGCAGGAGCCCCTATCAGGCTTGTCTTCTGGACAGCCCCGCTGCTGCCATGCCACAGGCAGGTGCCCCCTCCTGGGGTGGGACTCAGCAGTGTTCTCCCTCAGAGCCCTCTCCCTGCAGCAGCAGAGGGTGTGTCCCTGTGCTCTGTCGAGTGCTTCTGGGAGCTCAGTAGTCAGGGCACTGGCTCTGATGGACACTAGAGGCTTCCATGCCTGGTGGCCCAGATTCCTTCTTCTGCAGTGACCCCTGCCACGCCATACAGGACTGCGGCAGCTCTTATCAGGCCGCCTCCTGCTGCAGCATCTGGGACGCAGAGCCTGGGTTCGCAAAACTAGCTGTCACTGTTGTGCTAAGCACAAACACTGCCCCCTTCAAAGCCTGTCTTGAACGCGGTATCCTCCTGTGTCACCCTCAGGAGATGGAACTCAAGCATTAACTCATCAGATACCAGTGAGGCCTGCTACACTCCAGCGGGAGCAAGTCAGAAAACAACAGGCCAGGAGCTCTGCTTAGGAACCACCTGGGACGTAAACCCATGCCGCCCCCTGCCCGTGCCTCCTCTGTCCTGTGAATGACACTCTGGGGTGCCGTCCAGCAGGCGGCTGCCTCTCAACCACCTGTGCAGTGAGCACGAGTGTGTGTGGCGGATGCGGCCCAGGCCCCACACTGAGTCCGCAGCCCAACCGGCACCCACCTCACAGACCTGCTCTCATATGTGACAAGCACCAGAGTGGCAACACGTCCCCAGCCGGCACCCGGCTGCCTCACCCTTGGTAGCGGCTCAGTCCCATGCAGGAGGCACCTCCATTCATGGTTTTTCCTCAATGGTCACAATGGCCTGTCCTGAGTTCTGGGGCTGCAGCCTTCAACATTCGTCATCGCTCTCCCTGCACCTACAGCTACAGCCCACACCCACACCACCATCATCTCTTTCCCAGACAGCCGCACAAACCCGCACATGGCGTGCCTCCTCCCACTGCCTGGAGGGTCCTCTTCCAGTACCTTCCTGTGGTGGGCGGGTCTGGCCCACACATCACCTCCCCAAGGATCCTTCCCCTTCAGAGCTCCACCACACTCAGAGCACACCATGCTCGGGTCTGAGTTCTTTTTGTTTCACATCCTACCAGGACACAGCCACTCCCTTGGGGGCAGGGATAGGGTTTTGTTTGTTTGTTTTGAAACGGAGTCTCGCACTGTCTCCTGGCCTGGAGTGCAATGGCGTGATCTCAGCTCACTGCAACCTCCTCCTCCCGGGTCCAAGCGTTTCTCCTGCCTCAGCTTCCCTAGCAGCTGGGATTACAGGCGTCCGCCACCACACCTGGCTAATTTTTTGTATTTTTAGACAGATGGGGTTTCACAGTATTAGGCAGGCTGGTCTCGATTTCCTGAACTTGAGATCCGTCCACCTCGGCCTCCCAAAGCGCTGGGATTACAGGCGTGAGCCAACATGCCCGGCCAGGGATGGGGTTTTGTCTGGCTCACTCTGCACTGCCTGGCACTCAGAGGCAGCGCCAAGGAGAGGGCAGTAGGGCATGAGCACCATTTGCGAAGTGGCCACCAAACACGGGGACAAGGCGGGCAGTAGGGCATGAGCACCATTTGTGAAGTGGCCACCAAACACGGGGACAAGGCCTGGCAACCCTGTGCCTCCTGACTCACTTTTTACATCAGCAGGTTGTGTCCTGACTACCACCATGTCCCATTTTCTGTCTTCCTCTCTCTCCTCTCCGAGTCTAAGTGGACTCCCAGCTCCCCAGAGCATCCACCATGCAGAGAGCGCAGAGCCCACGCTGCTGCCCACCAACGCCCTGTGCTGCAGATGGTGTCAATATGCGTGTGTGAACGGAGACACCAACACAGAAAGGACCTAACAGTCGACATGCGCCTCCCAGCCTGCCACCCTGCAGCTCTGGCGGGACACATGGGCAGTGGGGCTCAGACAAGCGTCTGTTACCTCAGTGGTTTCACTGGCTGCAGTGCTCTCTTCCTTTTTCCTCTCCTCTTCTTCTTGTTCTAGTTCCTTAATGCTCTCTTCTAACACATTGGGCCAGAAATCACCTTCAAAATAGGGCAGTTCCTTGGCACTGGTGAGCCTATCTTCAGTTGCTTGTTTGAAAATATCCTGAGTGGGCAAAGCACAACAGTGAGATGAGGGCCATGTACGCGCGCCCCCCACCATGGTGCGGCAGACCCCCACACAAGCACACCCCTCACCACGGTATGGCGGAACCCCCTCTACACATGTGCACCCCCCACCACGGTGCTGGAGCCCCTGTGTGTGCAACAGTGATGCACAGGCCCCAATGCCCACTGATGGAAACAGCTTCAACTGTGCTGCTCTCAGACGGCCAGGGGAAAGCCTCAATCAGCTAAAGAAAATTCTTACTTTAGGCTTTTATTTTTCTGCTTTCTAATCCTCATAAGTGAAGGTAATTAACAAGTATGTAAATGCAAGAAAAAGGCACACAAACATCCTTCACTCAGTAGTGACAAAAGCCACCACACCTTCCTTCAGCACCGAGTACCTTGTAGTCATGAATGATCCGCTCTGCGAACGCCTTGTCCAGCATCTTTTTGTACCACTCCTGCAGTCGTTTTGGCTTGGGTATTTTTTGATCAGGTGGGTGGCAATGGAAGATGTAATCGTCTCCTTCACTTGGAGGACAGGCCCAGATGTGCCCTGTCACATACCTGCAGGACCCACACATACGCGTCAGATGAAAGTGCCAGTGAAATCGGCCCTGCCTTTAAGGAGTTATAGCAGAGGAGCAAGGACTAAAGCCAGGACAGAAGTAACCAGAGAGACAAGAGAGAACAAATGCCCACAAGGCTGGGTGTGGTGGGGGCAAGGGTGGAACTTTATCCCAAGCAAATGCAAGCCTGCAAATTGGCCCTGAAACACTTCTCCCTCGGGGTGCACACACAGGGCTGGGCCAAGGCTGCAAAGGAAACCTGAGGCCTCATTAAAGAACCAGGGAATATGATGGCTCATGAAGGCAATGCTATCCCCTTCCTCCTGTGCACTGTAAAGGCAGTTCAGTTATCTATTTCTCTCCAAGGGTCAATATCAACATAAATCTCATTCATTCTGTTCAAGACACTTTGATCAAATGCCCCTAGCCTTTTCAAGTTTCAGAAGGGAATGGGGCAGGTCTAGAGTACAGAAACCAAGTGCTAGAGAAGGAAGCCAGACCCAAGACAGCACACACTGCAGGGTTCCATTTGCACAAAGGATTCACAAAAGACAAATTCAGAGAGACAGAGTAGATTAGTGGTCGCCTGGGGCAGAGATGGATTAACAGCAAGGAGCAGGAGGAAATTTTCTTTTTTTCTTTTTGAGACAGAATTTCGTTCTTGTTGCCCAGCGTGGAGTGCAATGGCACGATCTCGACTCACGGCAACCTCGTCTCCCCGGTTCAAGCGATTCTCCTGCCCCCGCCTCCCAAGTAGCTGGGATTAGAGGTGCCTGCCACCACACCCGGCTAATTTTTTGTATTTTTAGTAGAAACAGGGTTTCACCGGCCGGGCGCGGTGGCTCACGCCTGTAATCCCAGCACTTTGGGAGGCCAAGGCGGGCGGATCACAAGGTCAGGAGATCGAGACCATGGTGAAACCCTGTCTCTACTAAAAACAGAAAAAATTAGCCAGGCGCAGTGGTGGGCGCCTGTAGTCCCAGCTACTCGGGAGGCTGAGGCAGGAGAATGGCGTGAACCCGGGAGGCGGAGCTTGCAGTGAGCCGAGATTGCGCCACTGCACTCCAGCCTGGGCGACGAAGCGAGACTCCGTCTCAAAAAAAAAAAAAAAAAAAAAAAGAAACAGGGTTTCACCATGTTGGTCAGGCTGGTCTTGAACTCCTGATCTCAGGTGATCTACCTGCCTTGGCCTCCCAAAGTGCTGGGATTACAGACAGGGTGAGCCACCACACCCAGCCAATTTTTTTCTGTATTTTTCTTTTTCTTTTTTTTGAGATGGAGTCTTGCTCTGTCGCCCAGGCTGGAGTGCAGTGGCACAATCTCAGCTCACTGCAACCCCCGCCTCCCAGGTTCAAGCAATTCTCCTGCCTCAGCCTCTTGAGTAGCTGGGATTACAGGCTCGCGCCACCATGCCTGGCTATCTTTTGTATTTTTAATAGAAATGGGGTTTCACCATGTTGGTCAGGCCAGTCTCAAACTCCTGACCTTGTGATCCACCCGCCTCGGCCTCCTAAAGTGCTGGGATTACAGGCGTGAGCCAGTGAGCCTAGCCTTTTAAAAAATTTTTAGTAGAGGTGGGGTTTCACCATGTTGGTCACGTTGGTTTTAAACTCCTGACTTCAGGTGATCCACCGCAGCAGGAGGGATCTTACAGGCCAGTAACAATGTTCTGAAACTGACTTGTGATACTTGTACTAATAGGTAAAGTTACTAAAAACCACTGAGTCATACATCCAAAAAAGGGGAATTCTATGATACATAAATTTTACCTCAATAAAGGTAAAAAAAAAAAAAAAAAAAAAAAAAAGGAATGAAAAGAAGGTAAAGGTAGGGAAAGAGCTTGCTACGTGCCCAGAAGCCAGATCTGTGAGGCTCCGGGAGCACCTGGAAAGGGGCGCTTTGGAGATTCTGAATTGATCTTGGGATGTAAAAATAAAAACACATAAAACTTAAAACACCCATTATGTCACAGAATAAACATACAGTAAAAAATGGTTTTTACTAGTTCCAAATAATTTAATCCAAACTCACCCCAATTTCTTCACATACTCTAGATATCCAATAAGGATCTCATGGTAAACAGCTGTGCGGAGGCAACGTGGCCGGAAGAAATGAATACTATCCAGATAAGAAATGTACACACGCCTGTGGGAAGGAGGCACACGTTTAACTCAGGGTATCCCCTCAAATTTGAAATCAAATACAAGCAACAAAAAACACCCTGGAAGTTTAATTTTTAGACAGGGTCTCACTCTGCCATTCAGGCTGCAATGCGGTGGTGCAGTCACAGCCCACTGCAGTCTCAACCTCATGGGCTCAAGCAATCCTCCCGCCTCAGACTCCCACGTAGTTAGGATGACAAAGCATGAACCACCATGCCCAGATAATTTATTTTTTGTAGCGATAGGGTCTCACTTTGTTGCCCAGACTTGTCTCAAACTCCTGTGCTCCAGTGATCCTCCCACCTAGGCCTCCCACAGTGCTGTGATTATAGGTGTGAGCCACTGCCCATGGCCAGTTTTTGTTTTGATGGTATTTACACTGGCCACAAAAAGGATGTGATAAACAAACAAAACCACCAAAAAAACCCACAAAAAAACAAAAAAACCAAAAAAACTGGTCACCAACCCTGCTGCCAACCAGTTACATGGAATTCAGTTTTTGTCACTGAACAAAAGGATGAATGGCACCACTCGGCACAGAGAGCCACAGTTGGGGCAAACTGAGAAAAGCCACTTTTAGTTCTCTCTTGCCCAGATTCCTGATGGCATATGAAGTCCCTCGTGGCAGAGCTACTTCCTCTGTGCAGGTACCAGGCTGCCCCATCCCAACTCCCCAGGTTTACCTGCCTTAGATAAGAGCGGGACTCACACAGACTCACCACACAAAACACGCTTACTGTAGTCATCTCAACAGTTCATTTCCCGCTAGTTTAATGGCAAACAAAACTAACTACTTTGGTTAGTTAATTGTGGTTTGATTTACTTTAATCCCCTATGAAGGCTCACAGGCTCCTCTGGGACACTTAAGAGCCCTGGTCTACCCTAACACAGCTCACTGAATGACACGCCCCGGAAGGAGCTGGAAAACTACCTCGTGTTTGGAGGGGGGCAATCAGAGCCGTATTCTTGAACGTGCATTCCAAAAAAGCAGACATCCACGCCGTCAATTTCCTCAAAAGCAAACAGCGCTTTGGTTCGATATGGGAAAGATTCAGACATCTCCCCAGAATCCACAAACCTGAAACAAAAGTCAGAGTCCGACATTTACAAAGGCTGTTGCTAACAAAGTGCTTCTGCACGCCAGGTCTGCTCCTCTAACTCTGGCCGCTGCAGATGAGCAGAGGCATGTCCACCTCCTCAGACCGTGGCCTGGAGTCCTCCCTATGGGTCAATCAGCCCTGGAGCGGGGAGTGCCTGCTTTCTGACCAGTTTCCCTCACTAGAGAACTGCACCACTGTGAATGAAATACGGGATTCTGAGTAGGACTGGCTATATACAGCAGTCCCCCTTATCCATGGGGTGTATGTTCCAAGACCACCAGTGGATGCTGGATGCTGGAAACTGTGGACAGTATCAACCTCTGTGTTTTTTCTTATGCATCTGTACTGGTGACAAAATTTTAATTTATAAATTAGGCACCACAGGAGATTAATAAGTAATAATAAAACGACAATTATAAAAACAGTATACTGTAATATGCTATGTGGTCTCTCTCTCTTGAAATAGCTTACTGCACTGTTATCGGGTAACTGAAACCCAAACAGGACAACCGAGACTGAGGGAGCTACTGCACACGTTTGCTGCTGCAAAGTCTTTGAAGGATGACATCAAACTGAAGAGCTTTGCAGAGAGTAGGCTCTGGCAAGCGGGAGTGGGGACTGCTCGCAGAGCACTGTAGAGAGCAGGCACACTGACCGTGACTTCATCCCGGGCTTGACCTCCACCGTCTTGTCTGAGCTGGCCACCACTCGGACAAAAACCTCCCCGGCTTCAGGGTGATTCTGGCGCCGCAAAAATTTGTTCACTCGGTCTTCCAAGTGGTTTCCCAGTCTCGTGGTCTGTAGCCCTAGGAAGTCCAGAAGGAGCAGGTGACAAGGCTTCAGCAGCACTGCTGAGACAGTGACTGAGACTACAGAATCCACCCCACTTTGCAGCACAGGCTGATATTTTAGAGGACTAATATTCTCCAAACATGGAAGAAATCTGATCTGTCCTGTGACAGGAGTGTTACATAAGGGAAAGGTGGACTCTGGGATCTCAGGCACTTCACTCCTGAAAACTGTTTACGTGCCCAGGTAACCTGCATCTTTTGCTAATAGTATGGGGCAGAAGAGCTACAGAGGTGGGCCCAAAATTGACAGGGGCTCTAGGGTGGTGCAGAGGGATATTTCCCTATTGCTATTAGAACGAGATGCCTCCTGCTTTCCCTGGAGGGCAGAGATGGCACACCCTCAGTTGGCTCCTCCTGCCCAGCTCTGAGGAGAAAGTCCCTACTACAGAGTCTAACCTGAGCGTGGAATGTTCTAGGGCTGACAAATCAAGCTCTGGCCACAGCCTGCCTGGTGCCTCAGGAGCCGGCAAAGTATTGGCCTCCAAGCCTGCCCTGAGCCACCGCCTCGTGTGGTGCATGAATGAAGTTTCTGATCCTTGATGAGGGCAGCCTTTCCTGGGCTCCCCTCCCTGTTGCACCCCTCCTCACCCAGGGCCAACCCCGGGTGGCTACTGTCACAGGAGCTGCCCAGTGGCAGGACATTATTTCAGTACAGAGAACTCCTCATACACAGGTTAAAAAACTATAAGGGAAAGTTGCAAAAGGTTCTTAGTGATTACTTATAGACAATGAGATTTTAAAAGACGTTTCTTTCTTTACTGGCTTTCAAATATTTCCTATGTTAGTGAGAAATAGGAAAATTGGGAATTTTAGAAGATTCCTTAGTGAGCTGGAAAATTTAGACCAAACTTCTAAATTTCATTTTGCTGCAATAAATGAATCAGTGGTGCTGCTTTTTGGGTACGTTGTACCCGAATAAAAATGATTTGAAAAGAAAAATGTGCTGGGCACAGTGGCTCACGCCTATAATCCCAGCACTTTGGGAGGCCGAGGCAGGCAGATCACCTGAGGTTGGGAGTTCGAGACCAGTCTGACCAACATGGAGAAACCCCGTTTCTACTAAAAATACAAAATTAAGCCAGGCATGGTGGCTCACGCCTGTAACCCTAGCACTTTGGGAGGCTGAGGCGAATGGATCACTTGAGGTCAGGAGTTCGAGACCAGCCTGGCCAACATGGTGAAACCCCATCACTGCTAACAATGCTAAATTAGACTGGACGCGATGGCTCACGCCTATAATACTAGCACTTTGGGAGGCCGAGGAAGGCGGATCACCTGAGGTCAGGAGTTCAAGACCAGCCTGACCAACACGGAGAAGCCCCATCTCTACTAAAAATACAAAATTAAGCTGGGCGCAGTAATTCCAGCACTTTGGGAGGCTGAGGTGAATGGATCACCTGAGATCAGGAGTTCCAGACCAGCCTGGCCAACATGGTGAAACCCCATCTTCACTAAACATGTAAAATTAGGCCAGGCACGATGGCTCACACCTTTAATTCCAGCATTTTGGGAGGCCGAGACAGGCGGATCACCTGAGGTCAGGAGTTTAAGACCAGCCTGACCAACATGGAGAAACCCTGTCTCTACTAAAAATACAAAATTAGCCAGGCGTGGTGGCGCATGCCTGTAACCCCAGCTACTTGGCAGGCTGATGGAGAAGAATCGCTTGAACCGGGGAGGCGGAGGTTGCGGTGAGCAGAGATCGCACCATCGTACTTCAGCCTGTGCAACAAGGGCAAAATTCTGTCTCTGTCTCTAAAAAAGAAAAAAAGTACAATGGCAAAGAAATAAAAACTCCACGGAAATGTAAAAGTTGGCAAAACTATAAAAATAAGGGGAGGGTGGGCTGGGCGTGGTGGCTCGCGCCTGTAATCCCAACACTTTGGGAGGCTGAGGTGGGTGGATCATGAGGTAAGATCGAGACCATCCTGGCCAACATGGTGAAACCCCGTCTCTATTAAAAATACAAAGGAAAAAAAAAAGTTAGGTGTGGTGGTGGACGCCTGTAGTCCCAGCTACCCAGGAGGCTGAGGCAGGAGAATGGCGTGAACCCGGGAGGTGGAGCTTGCAGTGAGCCGAGATGGCGCCACTGCACTCCAGCCTGGGTGACAGAATGAGACTCCGTCTCAGAAAAAAAAAAGGTGGGGGAGGGTGGACTGAGACGTTTTACACTCCACGAAGGCTGCGAGTCCTGCTCCGAGCTCTGTGCTCAGCAGTTCCGTGGCTGAGATGACCATTCTGAGAAACACAGACTTCAGGAACTCACAGCTATGCTACCTATTCTCAGTGAAGCCCCTGAAGAACATTATTGCATTCTTACCCTCGTGCACCTGCTGACCAGTTTTGCTCCCAAACGAAGTGGCTTCCAGCTGAGAAAGTTAGACACGGCTAAGAAGGGCCACATTGCAGCAAACACCAATATCTTGTCTCTTTCCCCATGTGAAAGGGTGGCCCCACACACTACCATTTCCAAACAGCAAACAGAAGGAATTGACCTTTTTTTTTTTTTTGAGACAGGGTCTTGTTCTGTCGCCCAGGCTGGAGTGCAATGACACGATCTTAGTTCACTGTAGCCTCGACATCCTGGGCTCCAGTGATCCTCTCGCCTCAGCCTCCCAAAGTGCTGGGATTATAGGCGTAAGCCACCATGAGTGGCCAGAATCAACTTTTTACATTAGGTCTTTACTTTTTTCTTCAAATCACCTAAATTAACTGTACTATATAAAGAGACATTTAAACAGCTGCCAAGAACCAACAACGTGTTGTGTGCAGGAAGGCACATGTAGAGGGTAGAGGAGCCAGCACACTCAGAAATAAAAATTTTAGCGATACACCTTCTCATGGGGAAAATACATATTTTCTTTTCTTTTTTTTTTTTTGAGACGGAGTCTCGCTCTGTCGCCCAGGCTGGAGTGCAGTGGTGCTATCTCGGCTCACTGCAAGCTCCGCCTCCAGGGTTCACGCCATTCCCCTGCCTCAGCCTCCCAAGTAGCTGGGATTACAGGTGCCCGCCACTGCGCCCGGCTAATTTTTTGCATTTTTAGTAGAGATGGGGTTTCACTGTGTTAGCCAGGATGGTCTCGATCTCCTGATCTCGTGATCCACCCGCCTCAGCCTCCCAAAGTGCTGGGATTACAGGCATGGGCCATTGCGCCCGGTGAAAATACATATTTTCATATGTATATATATTAAAACAAAATACACTCTGGCTGGGAATGGTGGCTCACATCCGTAAATTCCAGTACTTTGGGAGGCCGAGGTGGGCAGATTATGAGGTCAGGAGATCGAGACCATCCCGGCTAATATGGTGAAACCCCGCCTCTACTAAAAATACAAAAAAAAAAAAAAAAAAATTAGCCGGGTGTGTTGGCAGGCGCTGGTAGTCCCAGCTACTCGGGAGGCTGAGGCAGGAGAATGGCGTGAACCTGGAAGGTAGAGCTTGCAGTGAACTGAGATCGCGCCACTGCACTCCAGTCTGTGCGACAGAGCAAGACTCTGTCTCAAAAAACAAACAAACAAACACTCTTCCATAGTAACTTCACTATTTGACACCTGTGATCCATATATGGCTGCATACTCCAGAGGTGGCCTCAGACAGCACAGGGGTCTAGGGGCAGGCCATGCTACCTGCAGTGCACACAGTGCCACCTTCCTCACGGTGCTGCCTCCTTTTCTGTTATCACTTGATTTGGTCGCTGTTGCTACTTTTTCATCACTCCTTGCCACTGCTGCAGTTATGTCCTTGTATGTGCCTTTATGCATATGTGCAAATATTTTTATAGGATACATGTGTGAAAGTAGACTTGTTAAATCTAAAAATGAACACTTTAAATTGTGCCCCTCGCTTTCTGGCATTCAACTTACATTTTCATCCATGGCGCATGATGGGCCTTTTGTGCCTTTTCCTTTCTCATCGCTGGGTTGTATCTTTTTAAGGAAGGCTTTTCATAACTCAACACAGTAAAATTATTATCTTACTTTTATCCTGAATGCATTTGTAGTTTTGCTTACTTTTCTCCCTGTTAATCTACCTGAATTTGACTTTGCATACGGCGTGTGCGAAGGAGGTGGTTTTCAATGCAAGATTAAGGAAGCATACCTTTACTCTGTGATCACACACACCACAACCCCTGTGCTGACACAAGCTCACACCGACAGAGTAGAGCTACCTCTAGTCTCCTAGGCCCTTTTCTCCTGTAATGTTCCATTTCTAGATCTTGGGCTCATCCACCGAATGCCCATGGGTCTTTCTGGATGCTGGAGTGGGAGTGGGACCGGACCCGCTCTGGGGTCACTTGTGTCATTCCCCCTAGTCACCTCCTGCCTCTTCCAGGCAATGACTGTTCTACGGAGGTCTAGCTCTCTGGGTAATTCTGTTTTGGCTACTGAGCCTCTGGCCCAGGGAAGAACTTCCAATTTGCTCAAATGCAGAGGAAAGAATCCTCTGAAGCAGGGCCTCTCAAATGGAGGCAACTGTGCCCCTCCTCCAGGGGACATCTGGCAATGTCTGGAGACATTTTTGACAGACATAATGAATTTGTTGGTCATTTCATTATGTGAGGAAGGTGTTACTGGCAATGAGTGAGTAGAGGCCAGGGATGCTGCTAAAATCCTATAATGCACAGGACAGCCCCCAAAACAGAGGATTACCTGGCCTGAAATGTTAGTAGTGGCTCAGTTGAGAAACTGAGCTAAGTATTACGATAGTTTATCAATGAGTGGTATTTCAAAAAATTTAACAAAGGCAGTGTAAGCTATAGAATAACTTTGGATGTTGGTTAACAACAGAGTTTGAACTTTAGGACTCAGTCTCAAGTCTACAGGTAGCTTCCTCCTCCCCTTCCCCCAGTGCATGGTCCATCCCAGCATTTCCATCTCTTTTCTACTCTGAGCTCCCCAAATGACCCTGGTTCTGTTGGGGATCTCCTGAGCAACATGCCAGTCACCTGTCCTGCCACAGAAAGGTGACAGCTGTAGGGAGCAGCAGGCAAGTGAACGTTAGAACGCTGCTGCAGTTGTCCTTCTTGTGTGGTTTTGCTGGTTAACTCAACAAAAGGACAGCCTGGCATGTCAAGCTGCAGAAGGCCATCCCAAGACTTGAGAATTGACTCTATTATAAAGATTAAATAATCATCAACTTTTGAAAACAATGCGGTCTTAAAAAAAAAAAAAAAGAGCCGGGTGCGGTAGCTAACGGCTGTAATCCCAGCACTTGGGGAGGCTGAGGCGGGCAGATCACAAGGTCAAGAGATTGAGACCATCCTGGCCAACCCAACATGGTGAAACCCCGTCTCTAGTAAAAATACAAAAATTAGTTGGGCATGGTGGCGGGCGCCTGTAGTCCCAGCTACTCAGGAGGCTGAGGCAGGAGAATCACTTGAACCCGGGAGGCGGAAGTTGCAGAGAGCTGAGATTGCACCACACTGCACTCCAGCCTGGCGACAGAGCAAGACTGTCTCAAATTAAAAAAAAAAAAAGTCTACTCATGCAAAGTTACTTCTAGCAGTAACAGGTTGTTCTATTTCTGCACAGGCACCACCAGCTGCAGTAACATGTCTAGCCAGTCCACATGCAGGCCAGGCTCCTACTCCCAGGGTGGCAGCTGGTTCCCAGGGGCCATGGCTCATGCTCCACTGTAGCAGAACCCAGCACCCACGGGATGGACCCATGACAGCCCACAAAGGGCCCAGGGTTAGACAGTGCTGGCCAACAGTACCCCAGTGTGTACACACACACGCACGAGGGGTGAGGGGTCTTAGGTCTAAGCCACTTGAGAATAATCTGTTGACAAATTTTCTCTGAGAATTTACAAAGTTTACTGTACACCTAACCTTTCATCTAAAACATGCACTGGATCATAAAAGCTGAATAACAATCAGGCTAAATATTCCCTTTAAGGGTGGACTGAGAGGTTTTACACTCCGTGAAGATCCACAGCCCAAGGCTGCCAGTCCTGCTCCAAGCCCCGTGCTCAGCAGTCCCGTGGCTGAGATGACCATTCTGAGAAACACAGACTTCAGGGACTCACAGCTGTGCTGCCTATTCTCAGTGAAGCCCCGGAAGAACATTCTTGCGTTCTTACCCTCATGACTGGCCTGGCTCTCCTTAAGGATGAGACAAGAAAAATACAAAGTACTGGGGGAAAAACTCACAAAAATCTTTGACAACCAAACCTCAAAACCATGTGTTGAGAGGAACCAAAGGACAATGGGGACAATTTCTACAAGTTTCTAAAATGTGCAGTCCAGGAAACAAAAAGCTTCCCCAAACTTACTCTTAGCACTGAATTTGTTTTCTTTTCGAGGTCTGCCAGTTTTCTTCAAGCAGTTGTCGCACACAAAACTGCAAAAATAATAGTGGTATGATGAGACTGTATATAATGATGTAAATTGTCAAACCAACAAAATGCAGCATTCAGATATTTTGTTGGCAGTTTAAATCACATTATTATTATAAAATTAAAGAGTGAAGAGGCAGACTGCTTTGATGTCACAAATCCTAAAGCAGACAAACACTTAGAACTTAAATTTAGAACCAACTGCCATCTCTCTTAATTGTTGAATTCTTGCTGACAACAATGAATGAGATGCAGTAGCCACTGCAACTGCCCCACCATTGTCTCTGTGTAGAACTGCCCTCCAGGCCAGGGGAAACTACTTACCCTGAAGGCCAAATGATGTCATAGTGCAGAACACAAATCTGATGCATCTTCCGGCCACACTCCTTGCAATCAACGAAACTAGGAGACAAAGGCGGCGCACTGTTAAAGCACACGGAACCACACGACCGGAGTCACTTGTAGATGTCTGTGTGTGCATCTACACCTTGTTCTCTGGGTTACTTTGAGTAGTGCTGACATTAAAGCATGAGTTGGCTGATTCAGCTATATTTTACAATGCATCCATATGATATCTTCTATAGGAAAAAGCTTTCTTCTTTTCTTTGTACAAGTGCTTCATTCCTCTTTTCTCCCAATCTCCCTTTGCAACCAGAAAGGAAACTTTATTTTTAAAAATTACTGTGACAAATACGTATCTCACAGGCCGGTATTTCTGACACTACTACACATTTTCAAGAACAATGCCTTCTCTAGGTGATTTCACATGCCTAAACTGACTTAAAAAATAGAGAACAATACTTTTAGTATTCTAAACATGTGCTCTTAAGTCTAAAATTGTTTAGGATACTAATGGGAAACATGGCCAGTTCAGAGCAGCCATGCTAGGCCAGAGGCACAAAAACACCAGTTCGGAGTCAGTTACAAAAGGGTGGAACGTGTCAGGCCTACTGGTAAGTTGACAGGAGTTTGTTCAAGTAAACACTGGTGAAGCGAGAGGATGGACCACCCATTCCCCACAAATCCTCCACACTGTTCTATGGCAGCCCACAACCACGGCTCACCAGAGCTCCGTCACCTCCAGGAACTGGCTTACCCAGGAATCTTAAATGCCAAGATGCCTTGAGGTCAGACCTTTGGTTTTTGTCAACTCCCTCCCTTGCTGCCTCCACAATGCATACCTCCGAGGAGGGGCTGAAGGGACTGGTGAGTAATGTGACTCCCTGTGTGCTCCTGAGCTCTGAGCTATGGCTCCTCTACAGTGTGCCCCTGCCCTTGTTCCCTTAATCTGTCCATTGCACGTGCTATGCAAGCCCTTAGCCGTGGGTCTACCCTCATCAGGCTTCTCTGCCCAGTCTGCTGGAAGGAAAGAAAAGACACACACACAAAACTGTGAAAACATGGCAGCACCCGTTCACAGTCCTGTGGCAGTCTCTGACAACCCAGCTCCATCTGGCTCCCTCTGCCTTCCACGTGGCAGCTGCTCTGAATCTGCACTCCTTTCCTCCAGTGCTGTCCTCCACAAGCCCTGTCTTTGAAAACCCAGTCACTGAGCTCTTCCCTTATGCTAAGAATTTCAAAGGTTGGGGCTAAGAACTTTCTCAATTCCTGTGCCGTCTCCAAAGGTCCCCTGCTCTCAACTATTCCCTCCCATGTCAGGGAAAAGGAGTGCCCCCCAAAACTACACTTGGGCCAGGTACAGTGGCTCACACCTGTAATTCTAGCATGTGGAGAGGCTGAGGCGGAAGGATTGTTTTACCGGGAGTTTAAGACCAGCCTGGGTAAAATATGGAGTCCCTGTCTCTACAAAAAATTAAAAAATTAGCTGGGCATGGTGGTGTGTGCCTGTAGTCCCAGTTACTTAGGAGGATGTTTGAGTCTGGGAGGTTGTGGCTGCAGTGAGCTATGATTGCACCACTGCACTCCAGCCTGGGTGACACAGCAAGACCCTGTTTCAAAAACAACAAACAAACAAAATCCAAACAAAATACTGTGTATTCTAGACCCCATGACATCCATTTTGAATTTCCCCCTTTCTCTCACTCCCAATTATTATTGGCCAACTAGGTGGCTCCCCTTCCCTCAGCCTGCCAACAAGCCCCCCTGCCTCGCTCCAAAAGCTCTTGCTTTAATTAGGGTTTCAGTTTCTTGCCTCCTGCTGCTTTGTATCTCTTAACTAATTTCTCTACTAGAGAACAATGTCTTTCCTCTTCTGATCAATTCACCTCATAGACCAAGGGTGACCTTCCTACATTAGAACCAATGCTATTCTTCAAAACCTCCTCAGCACATTGTAGGATAAAGTCTATTGTCAAAAGACAGTGAAATGGCCCTTCATGAAGTTAATCTCTGCCTACCAACCACCCACTCTAAGGGACTTGTAGTTTTATTGAGCAACCTGTGTTCTTTCATGTCTTTGTTTCTAGAATGCTCTGCAGCTTCAACATAAGTATCACCTTGTCCAGGAAACCAGGTCCAACTGTGATGATGCCGCTCTGCCCAGGCGGGGTCCCTTCTGTCTGGGACTCACTTGCACTGTCTCCTGCTGCAGGCTGTGCCATTACCCAGCTGTCTCTCTAGACTACAACCAGCAGGAAGAAGGAGACCCCTTTACCCATCCATGTATTCCCTCTGCCTGGCACCTACTACTTGAATGTAATATATTTTGAAATTAAAAAGTAGATATAAGTCAGCCAGGCACGGTGGCTCGCACCTGTAATCCCAGCACTCTGGGAGGCCGAGATGGGTGGATCACGAGGTCAGGAGTTCAAGACCAGCCTGGTCAAGATGGTGAAACCCCATCTCTACTAAAAACACAAAAAAATTAGCTGGGCTGGTAATCCCAGCCACTCGGGAGGCTGAGGCAGAGAACTGCTTGAACCCGGGAGGCGGAGGTCGCAGTGAGCCGAGATCGCGCCACTGCTCTACAGCCTAGGGGACAGAGCAAGACTCATCTCGGGGGGGGGGGGGGTGGAAAAGAGAAGTAGATATAAATCATAATGAAACTATAAAGCCACGGAGAGAAAGACACAGTGTGAAAAGAAAGGTGGAAAGTCAGGAAAAACGATCTGCTGGTCACGAGAGGGGTGGCCGCTCTGCCCTGCCATCTCACCAAGACTACAGCTCTAGGATTTCACATCATCGTCCTGTCTGTGTATCAGGTGCTGGGAGAGATGAAATAACCTGCTGAAAGTCAAGCTAGGTTTCCAGAGGTGGCCTGGGTAGAAATCTGTGCCTGCCACTCTAGACACTGGCTTCCCTGGAGTGAGTGGGTCAGGATAGGGAGAGCAGGATCTGTTTCTTGCTTTGGCTGAGTCACAGTCCACATTTCCCAAGCAGCCAGTGCTCCTGGAGCCTGTGCTCACCGTGGGGACAAAAAATAGCCAGTATCGCCATGCCAATTTGGAGTGCCCTCAGAACTTTACACTGGGGACCTGGGAAGAGGCTACCACACTGAAGAAATTCTGGCATCTCTTTAGGGGCTGTTATGAAGCAAGGTTAGCAAATGCAACACTCTCATTCATCACTGTAGAAAGTGCTTAACAATGGCAAGAACATGCACCAAGCTTTACATTATTTGAGAAAGCAGTTTCCAAGAGATTTTCTTTCTGGTATTTCCCTTTAAACGATACTACTAGTACTATCCCACCAAATATTCCTACCTTTGGTCTCTAAAGATTCATACTAAATGGCTTTTTTTTTTTTTTTTTTTGAGACGGAGTCTGGCTCTGTTGCCCAGCCTGGAGTGCAGTGGCCGATCTCAGCTCACTGCAAGCTCCGCCTCCCGGGTTTACGCCATTCTCCTGCCTCAGCCTCCCGAGCAGCTGGGACTACAGGCGCCCGCCACCTCGCCCGGCTAGGTTTTTTTTTGTATTTTTAGTAGAGACAGGGTTTCACCATGTTAGCCAGGATGGTCTCGATCTCCTGACCTAGTGATCCGCCCGTCTCGGCCTCCCAAAGTGCTGGGATTACAGGCTTGAGCCACCGCGCCCGGCCACTAAATGGCTTCTTTATTTTTATTTTTTTTTTGAGACGGAGTCTCGCTCTGTCGCCCAGGCTGGAGTGCAGTGGCGCAATCTCGGCTCACTGCAAGCTCCGCCTTCCGGGCTCACGCCATTCTCCTGCCTCAGCCTCCCAAGTAGCTGGGACTACAGGCGCCCGCCACTGCGCCCGGCTAATTTTTTTTTTCTATTTTTTAGTAGAGACGGGGTTTCACCATGGTCTCGATCTCCTGACCTTGTGATCCGCCCGCCTCGGCCTCCCAAAGTGCAGGGATTACAGGAAATGGCTTCTTAAAGACACCCATGACCAAATTATTAGAGAGGTTTTCATAGAACTGAAACATCCATTTAATTTTATCCTTGTTAAAATCCAGTAATTAGAGAACATGTTACAGAGACATACATATTTTGTTTAAGTTTAAAAAGAATCTATATCTAAAAGATAAGCTCACACCAGAAATTCCACTTATTGTAACATATTTCCAATGTTTTTACCCACAACCCACTCCATAAGGAGTAACTTTACCAATTTCAAACCAAAATTAAAAGTAAAAAAGAAATAGCTATATACTTACGGTTCGGGGTCTAAGGTATCATTTTTCTTCTTTTCAAACTGATCCTTTGAAATTGTCCTTGTTTTAAAAAAAAGAAAACATGTTGTATTAACTAAAATTTATCTGTTGAGTATAAACTATAGGGTCTCTGGAATGTGATTTTGTAACTAGTTCTTCAAACAAAAAGACATGATGGTCCTTTAAAACCTCAAGTACATATAATAACGGAATGAACAGAAAATTTAATTTCTCAGAACATTACAATTTCTTTTTCCACATATTCCACTACCATTTATTTTCTTTTCTTTCTTTTTTTTCAGAGACAGGGTCTTGCTCTGCTGCTCAGCCTGGAGTGCAGTGGCGCGATCATGGCTCACTGCAGCCTTAACCTCCAAGGCTCAAGTGATCCTCCTGGGTAGCTGGGACTGTAGGAATGCACCACCACGACTGGCTAATTTTTTGATTTTTTGTGGAGATGGGGGTCTCATTATGTTGCCCAGGCTGAATTCAAACTCACCCCGGTTCTAAGTAGCTGGGACGACAGATACAAACCACCACAACCTGTTAAGTTTTTTTCATTTTTTGTAGAGATGGGGGTCTCACTATGTTGCTCAAGCAACAATCCAATTATTAATCACACAACTAAAGAGAATTAGGATGACAAGGGAAATAAATTAAAAATGTAGAATTTCAGTCACTTTGGTTTGTATGTCTTACAAGTTAGGTTTTTTTCTGCATTTGAACAAAGAAAATGGTAGAGCGTAAGTGCCTACACTGCTGGAAACTGCTCCTGTGGCAAAGCCTTCCTTTCTGTTGGGGGAAGTCACACTGTGGGTAGGGTGGGAGGAATCATGGAAGACTAGGGAACTCAGTCTGACGAAAAGAGGGAACGGTAGACCTGGGCAGACGCGGTGGGTGGCTGGCAGGTTTTTAGATATTTCAAGCATAGAAATGAGTTGATAACACAATTTGTGCATTTGCTTTTTCTTGCCACACACATGCCATTCTATCACTCGAAGGTAACTCTGCTGGATAATAAATACTGGAAGTAAAAGTTTAACCCTGCGCAGGAATGAACTAACAAAGTCATACCTGTCCACTTTGGAGCCGATAAACAATAGGTAAAGAAAGCACTAGTGAGGGAAGGAGACACATTTATACCTTAGGCCAAAAAATGGGGTACTGGAATCCATTAATCTGCATTAGAGCTCAGCAACTGAAAGGATGGAGGTTTAAGTGGAGATAAACTAAATGTAAAGGGCAGGGCATGTACACCAAACTCATTTTTTGCTACTGCCAGTTCTGTAAATGGGGCTACCTGGTTTATCAGGTATAACTGAAAATTTACACGGTCGGGCATGGTGGTCCCAGCACTTCGGAAGGCCAAGGCAGGAGGACTGCTTGAGGCCAAGAGTTCGAGACCAGCCTGGGTAACACAGTGAGATCCCATTTAAAAAAAAAAAAAAATTAAAATAAAGAAAATTTATAATTCCCCAAAATGGAAGTTGACAACAACTAGAAAAAAACAATTATTTTAGAAGAAAAGACAAACCAAGGTCAAGAGAGAGCAGCGGTCTACAGTGGTCAGCCATAGTGCCACTGCCTTGAATGATAAAGGCAGAAGTGGCACTGTGGTTCAGCCAAAACACGTTTTTCAGTGTAAATGTGTATGTATACACATATTCAAATTAAATGTGAGCATAATTAATATGAAACAAACCCCACAACACTACACACTATAATCTCAGCACTTTGGAAGGCCCAGGCAGGTGGATTGTGCTTCAGTGTAGGAGTTTAAGACCAGCTTGGGCAACACGGCGAGACCTCGTCCCTACAAAAAATACAAAAAATTGGCTGGGTATGGTGGCGTGCCCCTGTAATCCCAGCTACTTGAGAGGCTGAGAAAGGAGGATTGCTTGAACGAGTTGAGATAGTGCCACTGCACACCACTCAGGTGACAGAATGAAAACCTGTCTCAAAAACAAAAAACCAAAAAACATTGCATGAAAGTCAAAATGGCAGTGGTACTTTCCTTACAGTCATTGGTAAGAGGAAAAAACAATTTAAGGTCGCCCTCCCTCACCCCAGAAAAAATGACAGGACGGTACTTACGTCTGGGGCTGTGAAGGGTCGTCACCCAGGGTCACATTCTCGCCCTGGATCTCTGTGAAACACTTCTCACAGAAATGATACCTGTCAGCAAGAAGGCCATACTTGGGTGAACTGGTCCATCAAAACACACAGCCACCCAAGCAACGAAGCCACCAATCAGAGCAGGGCAGAGCACCACGACGAAGGGGGGGCGTTGTTGGTTGATTGATGGGTCAGTGAGGACAATGAAAGGAACAGGGGGCAGGTGGGGAAAGGCAGGATTAGAGAACAAGGAAGGGAACAAATAGCACAGACACAGAGGTAAGACGCAGACACCAAGACAACACAGAGCAGAAAGCCAAGGCAAAGCATTGATTAGCATTCGGTCTCATTGCACACATCACAGGCCATCATCACTAACAACGACAGGCTCGGTCTGGCTCCAAGAGGCAAATGTTTTCAAGGAGTTGTTAATACTAGAATTGCATGGAGCCCAAATTTAGGAATCTGAATTTTGTTCTTACTCAGAGAAAGTCAAATATAACTCTAGGGTTTGAGATGGAAAAATTTACTTGAACAAAACAGTCTGACAAAAGGCCTTAAAAAAGCAATTTAAACTGAAATAGCTTTATTTTTCAAAATGGAAAATTTATGCTTGACAGCAATTCAGAGATTTTATTTCCGGTATTAAGCCAGATCTTTAAATGCATGAAAATGCTGAGCACCCAGAACTGATTTTAATTTTTTCCTGGTTTTTTTTTTTCATGTTAATCATTCAGTTAATTGTGTTACAATACAAATGAAACCAAATCCATATTCTAGACAAACATTTAACATAAATGCAGTCAGGGTCAAAGACTTTCCACCCATTTATCAATATGAATATACAGAGTAAGAAATGTGATATATTGTATAAGAAATACAATATATGTAAATCCATGAACAATCTTTGAAAATTCAATTCTAAGCTTTGACGTGACATTTTTGGTACTGGGACCAATCATCCATCAATCGGAGAGACTTAGCCAATGACTGTTCTGACTTGGGGGCAATCCAAGTTAAGTGAATTTAGAGTTAATCTTTAAAGAACAATCTGCATTTGAGAAATTATCCATCACCCCAATTTCTTGTAAGACAATATAGAGCCTGGGCTCAAGCTATCAAATACAAACAATTAAAATAAAAACTACTAAATGTTTGGAAAGAACATAAATGAGAAATCAACAGAAATGCAGGCTGATGCTGCATAAAACGACACGAGTACACAAGAATACCGTAAAAATAAACAAGCGGGCGGAGGTGGATCACACAAGCGAGAAGAATGAGTGTCAGGTAGCAACGGCAGCACGAATGCGGTTTAGTGCTCAAAACTATGTCTACAAGATGCCAGGAAGGATTAGTATTAAAAACAGTGCGACAGGACTCGAGCGCCAGGCTGAACCACCAAGTGCAGAACGGGACACGGCAGCTGCAGTCTCACTCACTTGCGCATTCACACGGCTACAGGAGACTGAGGTGTGGGCCACCGTGTGGCCAGTTCACCACCACTAGGACAGGTCCCCCACAAGTCCCAAATCTAATCTTAATTCAATACACTGAGCATTTTGCCTGCTGTATTTCACTAACCCCACACACACAGCACATTTTAAAGCATACAACTTCAGAGCATGCACAACATCTCAAGATGAGCCATTTTTTTTGCGTTTGGTTGATGATGAACATGACAGATTCACTGGATTAACGAAGGTTTCTTGCTTGGACTAATTTATTTGGGACTAACTCAACTAATAAATTATGTCAGGATTTAAAACTCTGACAGGGAACAGGCAGATTAATGTTTTTCTTTAAATATGTATTTTTTTTTTTCCTGAATGAACTACAGCAATATTCTGGCCATTCACTATTTTGTAAATATCCTAAAATCCTGTATGGAGAACTTCCATGTGCAGGAGGGCATGGTCATCACTGGCAAGAAGGAATTAAAGTACAAAAACTATAAACCAATTCAGTGGCAACCAAAACAATATGCAAAAAAGACATTCCCTCAATCCCCAATACTTCCCTTTTATAAGTAAAACTCCAAATTGAGTGCTCCATTCATGTTACAATCAAACACACAGCACTATGGCCAGCTAGAAGGGACCGTTCAAGACATTCTGAAATGAAACTCCCATCGTAATCACAGGTGAGTCTAAATGGTTTTAAAATCCTAGAGAAATTCTTTGCTTCTATTCAAGGACAGCAAGCCCAGCAACATCCAGGAAACAAGGACCATAAACCCATCTTTTCCCACCGAGGAAAGTGACACAGAGGGAGACACTGGTGGTGGAATGGCAACCCTTGCGGTGGCTGGGAAACTGAGGCTCTTCCTGTATGACTGACTCCCATCCTGGAAAATCCAAGGATCAGAACCGGGGAGGCAAAGCATGTCAACAGACTCCTTGTCTGCCCCCAAACTGCTGGAGAAATGGACAATTTAGCCTCTTCATGTTTAAGAAGGGGAGGAAGAGGGGCCCGTGGCTTCACTTTATTACTGTTCTGAGAGATGAAGAAAGCACACAGAACAGACAGCAGTCACCCCCAACTAGTAAAATCAGCTACAGCAACCCTGGCAGTCAGTGAATGCTAGATGTTATTGCCAGACTGCCCCTACCTTCTTACCTAGTCCACACTTTATTCTCCCTGGAAACACATAAAGATTTAGAAATTTGCTTTTCAACTTAAGCACCCAGATGACATTTTGCCTGGTGTGAAGGAAGCAGCTTGATGAATATGGAATTGCAAAGGAGAAATACTTCACATAATCCAGTAATGATGCATTTCAGGGTTGCTAAAGTTAGTACAATGTAACTGCATAGTTTATCTGTAAGGGTAATTTAATATATGGAGTAAGTTTTCAAATGCAGATTGTTTTAAGTACCATATCAGTACATATGAATAACTGGGGTATCTATAGATAATATTTATATTATCTATAGATACTAACTGGGAAAGCTAAAAAAGTTTTTCCTAACTGGGGTATCTATAGATAATATTTATATTATCTATAGATACTAACTGGGAAAGCTAAAAAACAGTTTTTCCAACATGAGCTACTTTCAAATTTGCAAAGTACGAAAACAAGTGAAAACGTAACCATACGCTCACTTATATATTAGGGTTTCACTTGTTTAAATGGTCTGCAGGATTTTTTATTGTTCTAAGTGCCCAGTTTAGGACTACAAGTGCCAAGACAAACATTCATGAGAACACTGCAGTGTTCATAAATAGTCAAAGATGAAAATAAAAACATAAGCAGTTCAAGTATTTGTTACAGAATCAGGCCACTGCTTTCTTAGGATGATAACATGCTAACCTACTCAGACACACTGTTCTAGCGAGCATGCCTGTGATCACCTGAGGAATGCTACGCCTACACTTTAAAAATTATCACTAATAACAAGGAACTCCTTTATTTGCATTTCCACTCTTCAAAATACATTACTTTTGTTTAGTAAAAATGAAGTTCTATACAGAAACAAAATAAGACGTTTCAGAACTTTCAAGATGGTCCTGTGTTTACACGCCATCAATGACTCTTTGATCCTACCAATTCCATTTAACTTTAATTGCTCTCAATGTAAAAGACCAAAATCTGTGCAAACCAGCAAAGGCAGGGTCCCAACAGACCCAGGAATAGGCCCCACAACACTTTAGAGAGAGTGGTAAACAATCTACCTTCCTTATAGACCAAAACTCTGTTGGGCAACGTAGCAGGGGTGGCATTTTTCTGGGAATAGTTAATATCAACCTTTCTCTTAAGATATCATTAACTTTATTTTGCTTGGCACAAATGGTTTTTAAAGTGCATCCCTATTCATTATTTCATCATTGGGGACTTGACAAAATGAGGCTGCGAGGGAAGACGCTATTGTCTGTATCATGGACAAAGCTAAGCTTAATACGTTAATACATCATGGGGTGTGCTGAAGTCATGGGGCTAAAACTGTAAAAGGAGTGGCCAGAACTTCCAGAAGAGCAGCAAGTCACTATGGGAGAGATTCCATTAGGAAGGGGCTATGGTATCATTTTAAACTTGATCATAAAATGTTTCTATTGATAAAGGGGAAGTTGAGATGGAAATCAGACTCCGAATGTTAACCTATTTTCAGCAGGACAATTGCACAGGCTGCACTTCCAGCAGAGATGCAGTTTAGGGTCTGCCCTTCCCCCTTGCACTGGTGTTTCACTACACTGAACAGTATTAGGAATAAGCAGGCCAGGCTTATTCCTAATAGAAAAGGCTTAGGAACCTTTTTTCGAGACATTTTTGTGTCAAAAGGATTTTTTAAAATACAGGATTCTGATGGGAGTTATTACTTATCTTGAATATGGTTTTTTAAAAAACATAGAAGAATTAAAACAACCACAAAATTCCAACATTTTCAGGCCTGTGAACAAATAACAAAAAGGCTTCTGTCTTCTTTGAAGTATAGGACATAATTACTGCATCCAAACGAGAGTGAAATAATAAAAAACGCCAAACTCCAGTGTTGACGGTTAATACTTGAACCTAAAGACAAAGAACAGGCACAAAGCTCTATCTTGGCCACAGAGAATCCAGCTGCTGGCTCATAAAATGGAGGCAACGTCACAGTTTGAGCAAGATTCCTGACCTGTGCCTCCACGCATGGTGTGCTCACACTGCAGCTGCACATGGACACTCACACGCTGCGGTCCAGATAAGCTGACTTCTCAAACAACCCCGAAACTACGCAAGGTGTATTTGTGTGGGAAGCCACAACAAAAAATACTATTTTCACTCTCCATCTATTTTAAGACAGGAGATCTATTCTTTAGCCATCTTCATATTCCAAAAGAATGGCAAGTATTTCTTAAGCAGATCCACCACTCACAAAATCCTGAAATGGCCATCTTATAATAGGAGGGTGATTCTTGAACTCAATTAAAACACCAGATCTCATTTTGTATCATGCTGCTAGTGTCAAATTTAAAAATAAAGATCATGGACCCTTTTCCTCTGCCTCAAAGGAAGTAGCACTCGTGCAAGTCTTTCCATGAGACTGACCTGGCCAAATTACCCAGGCAAATATTTGCAGGCAGAATAGTAAAATCCACATTTTCTACTCTATGAACATCTTAAAAAAGGCATGCCAACCTTTATCAGAGTTACTCTCAACTTCAGACGCTTGCTTCTAGGGTTGCGTTTTAGAACAGGCATGGCTGAAGAAAGAACGTACCTAATTAAGTAGTACGGCAAGACTTGACTCAGAGGTTACAGTTTTTACACTATAAAAGTATGCTTTATAACTAAGAGGCCATGGGCCTATCCGTGTGACTAACAAGACACTGAAATCGAGCTACTTTTCTTTTTTTCAAATAGAGATGGGGGTCTCACTATGTTGCCAAGGCTGATAACGTAACTCCTGGGCTCAAGCGATCCTCCCACCTCAGCCTCCCAAAGTGCTGGGATTACAGGTGTGAGCCACCACACCCGGCCTGAAATTGGGCCACTTTTTATTGGAACTTCAGGAAAGAAATAATGTACACAGACTATAACCAGATGAACGTGCCTTGCCCTAAGACACAATGCAGGATGCTGCTTGACACTTACCTATTCTGATAGCTGTAGTACGCAGCATCGCGAGGAATGGTACACAGCTGCTTCCCATAGCAGCACAAAGTCTGTGGGGAAAACTCATACTGCAAAAATAAAGGAGAAATACTTTTATATAAAAATACATTCCATTTACTGTCCTATAATGTTCTAGTCTACTATAGAGACTAGTAAATTATCTCTGTTAGTATATTAGATAGTTTTCTAACAATTTTAGTAGCTTTAAAGACATTTTGAGATAGCATGTGATACAACTGGCTCTAAGAAACATTTATTACAGACAGGTACCACGGACAGAGGGGCAGCCAGAAATACTTCCTCATGGCCTCCCTCAGTAAGTGCCTATACACCCAGCTCTGATCACCCATCACATCACTTCAGGCATCAACTGTGTCACCAGAGAGCAGACTGCACATATGCACTCCCAGTACACAGGTGTGGTCTCATATTAGTGTAACACCCCTCTGGCTGGATTAACTAGGAAAATTCACTTTCTGGAAAAACTTAAAACTGTACCTTGCGTCCACAGCAATATCCAAGGGACTGCATGACTGGGTCAATTTCCTGCTCAAAGACCTCTGCAAGCTTACTGCAAAACTTATAGACTCGGGATGTCTTGCGATTATAGAGCCAGGCATTGTTGAACATGAGCCAGACGTCGTCCACGTACTGCCAGGGCTCTTGGTATTGCCCTGTGTCCAGCTTCCGCTTGATGGTGGAGAGGTCCATGGGATTCTTTACGATGTCAAAATAATCCTTTAAAAAAAAACAATGGTCTCAGGGAATTCCCCAACATCCAAATGCCAGTCATATCTGGCAGCTTTGTTTTAAAATAATAGAAACAGAAAGTACCAAAATAACTTCCATTCCCAACAGTAAGAAATGGGAAATGAAAAGAAAATAACCTCTGATGCAACTGATTTTACTCACTAAAAGTATAATTAGTATTTTCAGGTATGAGCGCATTATAATACTTCAAAGGCAAAGATAAAGAATAATTGTTAAAAGATACTTCTAACAGAAAATTTTTAAAATAGATCTTTAATCCACTGAATTAAAATAGTGAACCAGTTTATCAAACAGTGTGTATTTCTAGATATTCACTCTTGATTCTGGCAAGCAAAATGAAATTCCAAGACAAATATAAACACAAAGCTAGTAATTACTGCTACATAGAATCTGCTGGGTCCCCATGGCCTTTGCAAGGCTATCCAGGAATATAAAAGAGAGAAGCCTAAATATTTTTTTACAGTTGATGTTCACAAATTCTTTCAGACAAAAGTGACACAAGGATCCAAATATAAAGTGAAGTCTCAGGGGCATGTGCTTCCCTTGCTTCAGTGCACCCCTCCAAGGACCGGGGCTTCATGAACAAGTGAAACCAAACAAAATAAACACTTTCATTGATAACTGTTAACAGACAACAGTTTTTTATATTAGGAGAACAACCTTCAAGGCAGGGGGATTACTTAATCTAATTTCAAGAGATAAAACAACGGACACTCAAAAGTCACACCAGCAAAGTTATAATCTAGGGATAAAACAGTGGGCACTCAAGTCACACCAGCAAACTTATAATCTAATTTTACGAATTAACTTACTGGAATTCCAAGGAGCTGGGGATCTACAGGCTGCCGGAAAGGTAATGACTCTGGGTCCTGTCGATACAGTGCTTCTAGGGTCGGCATCAGGGCCTGGCGTAACTCCTCTGGTTTAAAGACTGCAGAGAAAACATCAAGAAAAGACACTCTGTAAAAGGTGCTCAGATCCCTCCTACCTCACATTTAAAACGGAATCCTGGCTGCTGTGACGTCCCAACCATGATGCTCCTAAGGCACTCGAGGGGCTCTCGTCCATCACCATAAGGACTAAAGCTTCTGAAAACACACCAGTGTCAGAACTGCGTTCACGTTGAGAGGCAAAATACAACGAGAAGTTTGCATCTTCTATGAAAGGTTTCCAACATTTAAAAACTTGCTGAAAAAGAAAGTAAAGCTAACTCCCAAATCTGTCTCATTCATCAAACTGGGTGGCAAATAAAGGCATTTCAGGCTGGGCGTGGTGGCTCACATCTGTAATCCCAGCACTTTGAGAGACTGAGGCGGGCAGATCACCTGAGGTCAGGAGTTCAAGACCAGCCTGACCAAGGTAGTGAAACCTTGTCTCTACTAAAAACACAAAATTAGCCGTGTGTGTGGGAGGGGCCTACAAGCCCAGCTACTCAAGAGGCTGAGACAGGAGAATCGCTTGAACCCAGGAGATGGGGGCTGCAGTGAGCCGAGATGGCGCCACTGCCTGGGCAATGAGAGCAAAACTCTGTCTCAAAAAAAAAAAAAAAAAAAAAAAAAAAAAGTCATTTCATTGGAAGGGACCTTAAAAGATCCTCTGAGGAAAGTTTTTTTATTCTTGGCTAAATTAAATTCAGGCCACTAGAGACAAATGGTTTTGAATCTCATAAACGTAAACAGTAATAGAGATACAAAATAAAGCATTTTAATAAAAAGTTCCATATTGCTACTCCCACATTTACTAATGCCAATTTCTCCAACCCCTCAGCCACCTCACTGCCTACTACATTTTCTGTTGTCACTAATACAAACATAAATACTGGCTGCCAAATATATTCAAGATGGTACATTCATACAAACCCTCAATGAGTATGGGAACAGGTGCCGGGGAAGCTGCTCGGTGTGGGAGGCCGGCCAGTCAGCAGTCAGCGTGTCATGACCCCACCTGGCTCATGTTCAGTCACACAGAGAAGAAACTGGAGGCAAAGATGTCTCAGGCGTTCTGATGCCTTAGCTTATAAGTGACACGTATTTTTTTCTTTGTGTTCTTGTAATTTCCAATTTATTATTTTTGAGACAAAGTCTCACTCTGCTGCCCAGGTTGGGGGACACTGGCATCATCTCAGCTCACTGCAGCTTCACCCTCCCAGGTTCAAGTCATCCTCCTGCCTCAGTCTCAGGAGTAACTGGGACTACAGGTGTGTGCTACCATGCCTGACTCATTTTTAAATTTTTTTGTGGAGATGAGGTCTCACTATGTTGTCCAGGCTGGTCTTGAACTCCTGAGCTCAAGCGTTCCCCCCTGCCTCAGCCTTCCAAAGTGCTGAGGTTACAGGCATTGAGCTATCATGCCCAGGATTTTTTGAGACAGAGTCTTGCTCTCTCACCCAGGCTGGAGTGCAGTGGTACGATCTTGGCTCACAGCAACCTCTGCCTCCTGGGTTCAAGCGATTCTCCTGCATCAGCCTCCCGAGTAGCTGGAATTACAGGTGCCCACCACCACGCCCAGCTGATTTTTATATTTTTAGTAGAGATGGGGTTTCACCATGTTGGCCAGGCTGGTCTCATACTCCTGACCTCAAATGATCCACCTGCCCTGGCCTTCTAAAGTGCTGGGATTACAGGCACGAGCCACTGTGCCTAGCCATCATGGCCAGCTCATTTTATATTTTCAGAGACAGAGTCCTGCTCCGTCGCCCAGGCTGGAGTGCAATGTGGCGCCATCATAGCCACTGCATCCACTAACTCCTGGGCTCAAGTGATCTTGTGGTATTACTATGTTGCCCAGGCTGGTGGTATTGAACTCTCGGCCTCAAGTGATTCCAGCCTCTCAAAGCAATTAAGATTATAGGTGTGAGCCACTGGGGCCTGGTCTGTTTTTTGTATCTTGAAAAGATTTTTTTTTTTTGAAATGGAATTTTGCTCTTGTTGCCTAGGCTGGAGTGCAATGGCACGAACTCAGTTCAGTGCAGCCTCCGCCTCCCGGGTTCAAGCGATTCTCCTGCCTCGGCCTTCCGACTAGTTGGCATTACAGGTGTGTGCCACCACACCCAGCTAATTTTGTATTTTTAGTAGAGACTGGGTTTCTCCATGTTGGTCAGGCTGGTCTTGAACTCCCGACCTCAGGTGATCTGCTCTCCTCAGCCTCCCAAAGTGCTGGGATTACAGGTGTGAGCCACTGTCCCCGGCTGAAAAGATTTCTTACAACAGATAAGTGGGAAACTGTAATTTAAAAATCAGATTAAAATATGGTAAACATTTAAAGTTCCAGTTGGGAAGGGGCAAGTATGAGGTACATGGGTCTGCCATCAATTTTGTGTGGGGTGGAGATGGTCTAACTTGACAAATTCTGGAAAGCGCCATCTGATTCCTAACTGGTGAAAGCAAAAGTTAAAATTTGAAGGAAAAACCCATTTGTTTAACAGGCTCACTTTAGAGATGAAAACAGGCACACCAAGAACATGCCTCAGGGCTCATTCCCATCAGAGCCCAGGATCCAGACTCTTGACCAACCTCCACAGACACCACCTCCTCTCTAGGGCACCTGGCTGCTTCAGACCTCTGATAGCGGCTTGAAGTCTGGGCAACCAGGTAAAAACCCCGAGATGCAGCACTCCTCAAGCACACAGTCCCCAGCACTTGAAAGTGCAAAGGCCTGGTCTAGGGTGCAGATGTGCCCTTCAGAAGCATCAGAAACACACATCCTTGCTTCACACTAACTCCTTTCTTCTGTTTTATGCAGAGATGAAGTAGCATTTGGTAGTCTTTGAATAACCCATTATAAGAAAACAATTATGTAACGAATAGCCTTTTGATTTCTCTAAACGAGGGGTTGGCAAATTATGACCAACAGGCCAAATGTGGCCAGCCGCTTGCTTTTCTGTATGGCCCAAGAGCTAACAATGGATTTCACATTCTTTAACGTTTGGCAGAAAAAAAAGAAAAGAATACTATTTCATGACATGTGAAAATCACACAAAATTCAAGTGTTAGTCTCCAAAAATACAGCTTTATTGGTGCATAGCTATGCTCATTCGTTCATATAGGATCTGTAGCTGCCTCCGCACCACAGTGGCAGCACTGAGGAGTGGTAACAGAGGCCTCAGGATGCACAAAGCCCACGGCATGGAACACCAGGCCTCTGCACGGAGAAGGCCTGCAGACCCTGTTTCTAGACCCTGTCACCGCCCCAGTGGTAATTGGGAGTGACAGGGCCTGAAACAAGTGTCACTTTGGTTGACCATTTATTCATTCATTAAATAACTATTCAAATTCCCTGCTGAGGAGAGCATTTTCTCTCTCTCTTTTTTTTTTGAGACGGAGTTTCGCCCTTGCCCAGGCTGGAGCGCAGTGGTGCGATCTCGTACAGGCGTGAGCCACTGCACCCGGCCGAGGAGAGCATTTTCACACTCCTGTCTTTACCAGCACCTTTCTGTAAGAAAACCCCATATGTGCAGAAGCGAAGTCAGGAGTGTGTGTGAACTGCACCCCTCCTCTGGCCCGAGGACCTGCTCCAAGCGGCAGGGTTGCTGCAGTGCACCAGCAGCTCCCAAAAATGCGTCTCTCAAACCCTTGGAGGTTGCTGTCTCATATCTCAGTCCCCAGCCCCTGTGACTACTGAAATTTCACCAAATGAATAATATTACAAAAAATAAAAACTCAGTTCCTCAGTCACCCCGGTCACTTTTTTTTTTTTTTTTTTTTTTTTTTAAAGACAGAGTCTTGCTCTGTCGCCCAGGCTGGAGTGCAGTGCCACGATCTCGGCTCACTGCAAGCTCCGCCTCCGGGGTTCATGCCGTTCTCCTGCCTCAGCCTCCCAAGTAGCTGGGACTACAGACGCCCACCACCACGCCTGGCTAATTTTTTTGTATTTTTACTAGAGATGGGGTTTCACCGTGTTAGCCAGGATGGTCTCGATCTCCTGACCTCGTGATCCGCCCGTCTCGGCCTCCCAAAGTGCAGGGATTACAGGCTTGAGCCACCGCGCCCAGCACAATTTCTGTATTTTTAGTACAGATGGGGTTTCACTATGTTGGCCAAGCTGGTCTCGAACAGACGGGGTTTCACCGTGTTAACCAGGATGGTCTCAATCTCCTGACCTCGTGATCCGCCTACCTCAGCCTCCCAAAGTGCTGGGATTATGGGCGTGAGCCCCCGCGCCCAGCCGCCCTGGTCACATTTTAGGTGCTCAAATTATCTATGTACTGTAAGATGAAAATTATTTGATCAAAACTGAAACCACTTTTTTTTTTTGAGACGAGGTCTTCTGGAATACAGCAGTATAATCACAGCTCCCTGCATGCAACCTTGACCTTCTAGGCTCAAGCAACTCTCCTAACATTGCCTCATGAGTAGCAAGGACTATAAGCGTGCCACAACCAGCTATATTTTTATTTTTTCTATAGACACAGGGTCTCACCATGTTGCCCAGGCTGGTCCTGAACTGTGGCCCTCAAGTAATCCTCCAAAAGTGCTGGAATTGCAGGTGTGACCCCCCAATGCCCAGCTTGAAAGAATTTTGTTTTGTTTTGAGATGAAGTTCATCTCTTGTTGCCCAGTCTGGAGTGCAATGGCACGGTCTCAGCTCACTGCAACCTCCGCCTCCTGGGTTCAAGTGATTCTTCTGCCTCAGCCTCCCAAGTAGCTGGGATTACAGGCATGCGCCACCACGCCCAACTAATTTCTGTATTCTTAGTAGAGACAGGGTTTCACCATGCTGGCCAGGCTGGTCTGGAACGCCTGAGCTCAGGTGGTCCGCCCGCCTCGGCCTCCCAAAGTGCTGGGGTTACAGGTGTGAGCCCCGCGCCCGGCCTGAAACAACTTCTACAACACTAGATCATCATTTGCCTTTTGCGCTACGCCAGACATCTGCACAGATGGGAAAAAGCAATCTTTTTTTTTTTTTAGATGGAGTCAAAGTGCTGAGATTACAGATGTGAGCTACCACGCCTGCCCGAAAAAATATTCTTGACGAGGTGGTAAGAAGTATTCCTTGTATTAAAGCTCAGCCTTTGGTACATCTTTTTTTTTTTTTTTTTGAGACGGAGTCTCACTCTGTCGCCCAGGCTGGACTGCAGTGGCGCGATCTCGGCTCACCGCAAGCTCTGCCTCCCGGGTTCACGCCATTCTCCTGCTTCAGTCTCCCAAGTAGCTGGGACTACAAGCGCCCGCCACCATGCCTGGCTAATTTTTTGTATTTTGTTTAGTAGAGACGGGGTTTCACCGTGTTAGCCAGGATGGTCTTGATCTCCTGACCTCGTGATCCGCCTGCCTCGGCCTCCCAAAATGCTGGGATTACAGGCGTGAGCCACCGCGCCCGGCCTCCTGGTACATGTCTTTTAGTCTGTGTGATGAAATATTCAGTGTATCTCACCACACAGAATAAAAGACGTGTGCTGCATATGCACAGTGGCCACATTAGGGGGCAGTACTTGTGCAAGTGTCAGAATTTACAGCTGAAGTAGCTGCTTGCCCTCATGGACCCCTTAAAACTTTCAAGAATGACTGAAAGATAAGCTATAGTTACTAACTCTAGTTATATGTCAGACATTTTCTCAGAAATGAACAAAGAGGGCCAGTTACTTCAAGGACAACTGACAATATTTGTTGCCAATGATAAAATCTGGACTTTCATTAAAAGATCAAATGTTTTGGAAAACTTGTACACGGGCTTGACATCGTCTCAAAATTTATTATTACAATTACTTTTTGAGACAGGGCCTCACTCTGTCACCCAGGCTGGAGTACAGTGGCATGATCATGGCTCACTGCATCTTTGACCTCCCAGGCTCAGGTGATTCTCCCACCTCAACATCTTGAGTAGCTGCAGCTACAGGCATGCACTACCCATACCCAGCTAATTTTTTTTTTTTAATAGAGATTAGGTTTCGCCATGTTGCCTAGGCTGGTCTTGAACTCCTGAGCTCCAGGCTAGGGTGCAGTGGTGCAATCATAGACCCTCAATTCCTGGGCTCAAGCAAACTTTCCCCCTCAGCCTCCCAAAATGCTGAGATTACAGGCATGAGCCACCACGCACGCCCTGCGTTTCAAAGTTGGTAAGACTTGTTTGAAGAGACTGATGGTGGTATTAACAAATGTGATTTTTTTTTGACACTGTATAGTGAAATATGTTAACATATGGAAAATCTGCAGAACTTAGTGTCAATTGAAAAAAAAATAATGCAAGCACAAACCATCCATTCCAAGTACAAGATGGATCAATGGATTCTAATCTCACAGAGTATGAAAAATCCAGTACTACAGATTCTGGTTCAATGTCGTAACTAACCTTTAAGAAACTTTCACTGGTTTAATTTTGGTATAGTATCAAAGACTATCCACAATCAGCTGAAAAGGCTATGAAAATACTTCTCCTTTTACCAAATACAGGATTTTCTTCACACACTTCAACCAAAATAACCAATCACAACACAGTAAATGCAGAGGCAGATGCCCTTAATAACATCATTATTCTTACTTTTGTTTTGGAAAATTTATTTTTCATATAGATGTTTTCTATGGGTGCCATGTAACAGACTATTTTAAACGAACTAAATATTTAAAAATTTTTCTTGGCCGGGCGCGGTGGCTCAAGCCTGTAATCCCAGCACTTTGGGAGGCCGAGACGGGCGGATCACGAGGTCAGGAGATCGAGACCATCCTGGCTAACTCGGTGAAACCCCGTCTCTACCAAAAAATACAAAAAAACTAGCCGGGCGAGGTGGCGGGCGCCTGTAGTCCCAGCTACTCGGGAGGCTGAGGCAGGAGAATGGCGTAAACCCGGGAGGCGGAGCTTGCAGTGAGCTGAGATCCGGCCACTGCACTCCAGCCTGGGCGACAAAGCAAGACTCCGTCTCAAAAAAAAAAAAAAAAAAAAAAAAAAAATTTTTTTTTTCTTTTTTTTTGAGACAATAATCTTACTTTGTCTCCTAGGCTAGAGTGTAGTGATGTGATCTGGGCTCACTGTAGCCTCAAACTTACAGGCTCAGGCGATCCTGCTGCTTCCGCTGTAGCGTGTACCACCACACTTAGCTAATTTTATTTTAGTTTTGTAGAGATGGAGTCTTGCTATGTTGCTCAGGCTGGTTTTGAACTCCCGGCATCAAGCAAATCTCTCATCGAGGCCTCCCAAAGTGCTACGATTACAGGTGTGAGCCCTGTACTCAAATTTCTCAATTTTAATTTCCAACAGAGTAAGCAATGATAGATAATCCACACAAACAACAACTCTCTGGGGACCTCAATTTCTAAGAGCATAAAAAGCCCTAAGATTCACTGTACTCCACACTCTCGAGGGTCCCCTTCCAGCTGCAGAGTAACATGGTCTCAGTCTCTTAACATTTCTCTGCAATCTTTCCCAAAAGTGTCGTCTGCAGCCTTGGACTTTCTGAGTCCCAACTCCCATTTCTAAGGTTCACTTGACAATTTTCTGATACCCTGTTATCTCTTTACTTTGGATACATCTCAAATGGACTCCATCCAACTTCCACTGTGAGGTGGGCTTATCCCACACATCTCAGACCCCAAAGCTGCCTAACCTACCCCTCCCCATGTCTCCCTACATGGGGTCCCTAGGCGCCACCCTGCCCCTCACTCTGCATGCTCAGCTTCCTCACTGCACCAGCAGAAAACTGCCTCCAGCTCACCCCTGTGCTGTCATAATGATCATTTTCCTTAAATTATGGCTTTTTTGGTTATTTTCCCACTCACATACATCACTGGTTCTTTATACTTTTATGAGTAAAGCCAAGCTCCTTAGCCTGCTCAAGGACCCAGACACATTTCAACCCTGGCCCCTGCCAGCATCATCTCAGAAGACAGCTCTGCAGCCAGGGTGGCCTCAGAGTCATAGCTCATCTCTCACTCCTACCATGAGCCCCACAGGCACAGGGCTGGGGTCCTGCTCAGCCTCAGTGTTTCTGCAAGGGAAAGTCTGTGGAATGGCAGGCAAGAAAGGTAAAAGGGCAGATAGAATTATGTTTCTACTTTAGCTTCTAACCCTCCACGTGGAATCACAACACCGTGGAAAAGCAGCATGGTTTAATAAGGTAATGAATAAACAGCCTACTTTTTTTGCGTGGCTGCGAAGGAGATGTTGACTGAGAGGCTGTGCCATTAGTGCTACTCTCTTCTTCCTCTTTAACTTCTACTTTCACTTCAGGTTTCTTTTCATCCACTTCCATTGATTCTGATTTCTGCTCTGCTGTGTCTGTTTCTTCTTTAACTTGGGAAGCTCCTTGCAAATCCTCCTCCATCATCTTGAGAAAAACATTACAGATAACACACAAATATTAAACACCTTTATGTTACCTCAGCCTCACTGGAAGGCTCTTACAAGCCTAAGATGGGTTTGTTAGAACCTTCCTCTAGTCACAGTTGCATTTATGATTCCTCTTCTCTTTCAGAAGAAGAAATAAAGTACTTGGTGTTCATTAAGTCACTTCAATACAGAGTCAGTGCAATTATGGTCCTAAATTTAAAAGTGATTTTTTTTTTGAGATGGAGTCTGACACCCAGGCTGGAGTGCAGTGGCATGATCTTGGCTCACTGCAACCTCCGCCTCCTGGGTTCAAGCAATTCTCCTGCCTCAGCCTCCTGAGTAGCTGGGATTACAGGTGCGTGCCACCATGCTTGGCTAATTTTTTGTATTTTTGGTAAAGATGGGGTTTCATCATGTTGGCCAGGCTGGTCTCAAACTCCTGACCTCAAGTGATCCACCCGCCTCGGCCTCCCAAAGTGCTGGGATTACAGGCATGAGCCACAATGCCCAGCCTAATTTAAAAGTTTTTAAATGTAAAAGTGCTTTAAAAATTGCACATACTCAGATTTTTCACGTACGGATATTTCTTAATTTGGAATAAGAATCTCCTTGAAAGCTGGGGCAGGGACCAAAAGTCCTTTTCAGAGGCAGGAGGTGTGGTATGAGACAGGAAGGAGCACTGGGGACTGTGGCTAACTGGAGAACCCGCCACAGCTGGTGTTTACAACCAGACTGTTGTCACACAGGGATGCAGGCACAATGCTGAAAGTATCTCAGTTTTCAAGAAAAGCCAGAAATCTAGAGTTTTATTTGCAATTTCCTGATTTTTAAGGTATTGTGTGGGCCAAACACATTTACAGGCTGGATCCAGCCCACGGTCTGCCAGTTTTCAGCTTCTGCCATAGGTTAATTAGTAAATGAATCCACCACCCCTTCTGTAGTCTACCTCTGCAGAACTAGAAATGAATGGAGAACATCAAATAAAAGGCTGTTGGATGATTCAAATATTTCAAATATAGGCCAGTATTCTTCATTTCTGGCAAAATAAACCCACCCCTCATATTTAAAAATGAAAAAACCAAGCTGTTTTAAATCAGTTTCCTACATACTGAACTCTGAACCCACATTCAACCAGAATATTTTAACTAAAGTCAGGGATACCCATGGCAGGCTCCAAGCCTCGTCCAAGGACACCTGGAGGAAGTGGTGACACACAGCCATCAACACATTCCTAGGGAGCAGCACCCACCTCAGACCTGGGCTCCCCTTTGGATTCACCAGGATCGGGCTCAGTGTCCTCCGTCTGGGTCTCCGCCTTCATTTCCAGCACAGGTACATCAGGTCCTGGCTGCTGGGAACTGGTTTCTGCACTGGCCACCGAGGAGGGGGTAGGGACCCTGTTATCAATGCTGGCTGCTGCCTGGGAAAGCTGTGAAAAAACCAAAAGCACTGACTTCAGTAAGCAAGGCAACATAAATGATCTTCAACTATGCTGCTCATGCAACCTACAATTTCCCGTTAAGACTTCTCAATACTGATCCAGCAGGTGCCCTTCTGAGAAACCGAAGAACAGAGGTTAAAGTAGGACTGAGTTCTAGAGGGAGGTAACAGCAGCCAGAGGCACAACTCAGGTCTTGCCACAAAGGCAGAGGAAACAGCAGAGCTTTTCAAACTTTGATATAAAATTATTTTCTCAAAGTTTTCTAGCTAAAACATGAAACTTCATATTTTGAAATTAATTCCCTTCAATACGGTGGTTAACGTGTATGGTAAAAGGCTGAATTATGAATGTCTAAGCACATCTGAAGGGAGGGAAATCAAGCGCCTACCCAAAGACAAGAGTGTTATCCAGCCTGTGTGAACGGTAGGAACACGGGTGCTGGGGGAGTAAATGAACATCACAAGAAGGAACCACTAAAAGAATTCCTAGCTTGCAAATTCTTACTCAATGGAGTTGTTTTTTTTTTTTTTGGAGACGGAGTCTCGCTCTGTCACCTAGGCTGGAGTGCAATGGCGTGATCTCAGCTCAATACAATTTCTGCCTCCTAGGCTCAGGCGATTCTCCCGCCTCAGCCTCCCGAGTAGCTGGGAATACAGGCACCCGCCATCATGTCTGGCTAATTTTTGTGGAGACAAGGTTTCACAATTTTGGCCAGGCTGGTCTCGAACTCCTGACCTCCGGTGATCCACCCACCTCAGCCTCCCAAAGTGGTGGGACTGCAGGCGTGAACCACCGTGCCCAGCCTCAATGGAGTTTTAAGTAAACAAACAAAAGATGACAATGCCTCGCTCTGTAGCGCAGGCTGGAGTACAGTGGTGCGATCTTGGCTCACTGTAACCTGCACCTGCTAGGCTCAAGTGACCTTCCCACCTAAGCCTTCTGAGTGGCTGGGACTACAGGCGCACACCACCATACTTGTCTAGTTAAAAATTTTTTTTTTTGTAGAGACGAGGTCTCACTATGTTGCCCAGGTTGGTCTTGAACTCATGAGCTCAAGTGATTCTCCCACCTTGTCCTCCCAAGGTGCTGAAATTACAGGTGTGAACCACTGCACTTGGCCTGACAGACAATTTTTATGGGAAAATAATTTTCTAAGAGTCTTGACCCAAAAACAGCAGACAGAGAGAGGCTTACCGGTGTCCCAGGAGGCTGGGCGTGCACAGGCGTCGGCTGTTGCTGCGACGACTGAGGGGTAGCCACAGATGGGGGCTGAACTGGGGTTTGAGGTTGTGGGGTCACCTGGGCCTGGGCTGCTGCTTGGACTGTAGGGGTGCTCTGCGTTTGGGTAGCACTGGGCACTGAGCCAGGAGTCGGGGTGGGAGTCTGCCCAGAAGATGACACAGGAGTTGATGGCTGAGTGGGAGCTGCTGGCTGGGGAGGAGTCATCCCAGGTGGTGTCGTGTGCTGGAGAGATGGCATGCCAGCAGCCGTGGAAGCAGGAGGCGGTGTTGGGTGCAATGGTGACTGTGTCACTGGAGGGCAAGGCAGCTGGCTGGCCTGAGGCCCTAGCATGTTGAGAGGGTTAGGAAGAGCAGCACCAGGCACCTGTCCCTACAAGAAATGGACAGAGTATGTTAAACTTATTTCCCACGTTTGAAAATGTGACAAAACATTTGAAAAATTAAATGTATGACATTCTTTTTCTTGTTTTTTTTTGAGACAGAGTTTCACTCTTGTCGCCCAGGCTGGAGTACAATGGTGCTATCTCGGCTCACTGCAGCCTCCGTCTCCCGGGTTCAAGCAATTCTCCTTTCTCAGCTTTTTGAGTAGCAGGGATTACAGGTACCCACCACCACGCCCAGCTAATTTTTGTATGTGTATTTTTATTTTTAAATTTTTATTTATTTATTTATTTATTTATTTTTTGAGACTCCGTTCTGTCATCCAGGCTGGAGTGCAGTGGTGCAATCTCGGCTCACTGCAAGCTCCGCCTCCCGGGTTCACGCCATTCTCCTGCCTCAGCCTCCCAAGTAGCTGGGACTACAGGCACCCACCACCACGCCCGGCTAATTTTTTGTATTTTTACTAGAGACGGGGTTTCACCATGTTAGCCAGGATGATCTCGATCTCCTGACCTTGTGATCTGCCCGCCTCGGCCTCCCAAAGTGCTGGGATTACAGGTGTGAGCCACAGCGCCCAGCACAATTTCTGTATTTTTAGTACAGATGGGGTTTCACTATGTTGGCCAGGCTGGTCTTGAAGTCCTGACCTCAAGTGTTCCTCCCACCTTGGCCTCCCAAAGTGCTGGGATTACAGGGGTGAGCCACCGCACCCAGCCAAATGTATAGGAATTTAATCACATTTTCTTGGGAGTATTCTGTTTGTGAAAATTCATTGAGCTATACACTTGTAATGTGCACTCCTCAATAATGATAAAACTATACACATTTCTTATAGACTGATTTATATAATTAAAATAACCATTGAAACTTATGGCTTAAACAAACACATCTATAGCAGTCCCCTCATATCCACTCGGATATATTCCAAGACCCCCATTCTTGGAATGCCTGAAACTGCAGATAGTACGGAACCTGGTATTTACCAAGATTTTTTGGATCTGACAACCAAGGTGGACACTCAGTGACTAACAGGCGGGTACTGTCTACAGTGTGGAAATGCTGGACAAATAAATGATTCATATCTCCGGTGGCACACAGTGGATGGTGAGGGAGTTCATCATGCAAGCTGGAATGGCACTCAATTTAAAATCTTTTTTTTTTTTTTTAAGACAGAGTCTCTCTGTCAGCCAGGCTGGAGTGCAATGGCATGATCTTGGCTCACTGCAACCTCCACCTCCCGGGTTCAAACGATTCTCCTGCCTCAGCCTCTTCAGCAGCTGGGATTATAGGCATGCACCACCATGTCTGGCTAATTAATTTAAAACTTATGAATTGTTTATTCCCAGAATTTTCCATTTAATATTTTTGGACCACAGTTGACCCCAGGTAACTGAAACCTCAGAAAGTGAAAAGGCAGATCAGGGGGCTACCGTACATTGACCCAGTCTGTAAGCTTCATGTTCTATAACATGTACTCAGTGTTCTTTAACATTTTCTAAGCTTAGCTTAGAAAAAGGTATTTTTTTTTCAAGTTGCTTCTTCCCTGGGGACTATAAAATAAAAATAAGAAAAAAAAGTTATTGACCACAAATATATACATCCATAAGTACCCTTAACAATTAAAAATTAAAAAACATTCTGAAACACACACAGACACACACACACACACACACACACACAATTAGTTACTTAAAGAGAACTGTTCCAGTGCAGTGGTTCTATACTGGGCAGGCACTTCAGAATTATTTGTGAACATTTTAAAAATGATTCTGAATCACTGTTCTAGAGCAGGGGTTGGCAAAATCCCAGGGCCAAACACACTGAGCTACTTGTTTCTGTAAATAAAGCTTTATTGGCACACAGCCACCTCATTTATGTACCATGGCAGCTTCTGCACTACAAGAACAGAAGTAAATGAAAACCAAGACTGAATGGCCTGCAAAGCTGAAAATATTTAGTATCTAGCCCTTTACATGAAGTTTGCTAATCCCTGTTCTAGAGCAATGAAATGTTACGGAAAATTAAGAAGAATTATTTAGTGAGGAAATCTAATATATAATAATGACTTATGCTGCATTATTTCACATTAAAAACTCAAAACAAGGCTGGGTGGAGCAGCTTACGCCTGTAATCCCAGCACTTTGGGAAGCCGAGGTGGGTGGATTACCTGAGGTCAGATCGAGATCAACACACACACACACACACACACACACACTCTCTCTCTCTCTCTCTCTCTCTCTCTCTCTAGCTGGGTGTGGTGGCACGCGTCTGTAATCCCAGGTACTTGGCAGCCTTAGGCAGGGGAATTGCTTGAACCTGCGGCTCTGAATCTGCGGAGATTGCAGAGCTGAGATCGCACCACTGCACCCCAGCCCTGGACAACAGAGCGAGACCCTGTCTCAAACAAAACAAAACAAAACAAAACAAAACAACAAACTTAAAACAAGAATTTTATCTTTTAGGGAGGATTTGGTCTGTTTTAAATACATGTATATTTTGTATACAGTAGCAATCATATGCACTACAACGAAAGAGGAAAAAAAAGGAATAAATGGAAAATCATTTTCTTCAGCTCTAGACTGAGAAATTAAAAACATTCAACAAGAAGAGAAATACTGAAATGATTCTATTAGCTTGACTTCACCTGGCAGTGGAAACAGGCCAAAAGATACGAAAGCCAAATCACCAAAAGTGAATTCACGGATCCTTCTCACTCCCTTTTTAAAATCCTCATGTCAGCCGGGCGCGGTGGCTCAAGCCTGTAATCCCAGCACTTCGGGAGGCCAAGACAGGTGGATCACGAGGTCAGGACATTGAGACCATCCTGCCTAACCCGGTGAAACCCCGTCTCTACTAAAAAATACAAAAAACTAGCTGGGCTAGGTGGCAGGGGCCTGTAGTCCCAGCTACTCGGGAGGCTGAGGCAGGAGAATGGCGTAAACACGGGAGGTGGAGCTTGCAGTGAGCTGAGATCCGGCCACTGCAGTCTAGCCTGGGCAACAGAGCGAGACTCTGTCTCAACAACAACAACAACAACAACAAAATCCTCATGTCTCTCAGAGTCACATTAAACTTAGAATTTAAAATACACAAACAAAAAATAGGAAAACAAAAACCCCAAGATCAAAACACAAAAGCATACAAACCAAAAAATGTAAATCCGTTACTACTTGTGCATATAGTTAACTCAGAGAGGATAAGAGAAAGTCCAAACAAGGTAAGGACTACAAGACAAAGGTGGGGAAAATAAAGGAGATGCTGATACACAGAAATGAAATGTGCATTCTGGAATTTTAATTTCCACAAAGGAAGACAGGAAAACACAAAACAAAACAAAACAAAACACCTTAAAACGAGAATTTTATCTTTTAGGGAGCACGGTTCCCAGTGGGGCACAGTACCTGTGACACGCCTGTTTGGGCTGGCGGCTGCCCCATGCCCACACTCATCGCCCCGCTGGATGGCGGGAACTGGTTCTGTGGCAGAAACTGGCTCTGAGCAGGCGCCTGGGCCATCATGTTGTTGCTGTGTGCACCCATCATGTTTGGAGGCTGAGGCATTCGGGAAGGAGAAATGGCCATCTACAAGACAACAAGCACCACCAGAGCTGTAGTTCCGAAGCTGACAGCCAGAGTTTTCAAGGTGAGCCAGAATGATCCAAGGCCTCACAACCCCAGAGGATGCCAAGCACAGGGCTCACATCCTGCCCTTCCTCATGGGAAGAGATCACCACTTGCTAAGAAATCCTGGGCTCCTGGGCACTTTACACACTTTCTCAGGCAATCTCTCAAATGAGCCAGCTTCAAAATGTCCTCTGAATAGAAATCAATAGCAGACTATAATTTAAAATTTAAGACATGCCTGCCTATGAGTTCTCTAAAGTGTTTAGAAAGCAGCCTCGGAAGAGCGAGCTCTCAGTCAGTAGATGCTGACAATTCCCTGCTGGCCACATATCTGAGGCTGCCTTCTCCAGCCTTGGAACTGCCACATTCTCACAAAGCCACACATTCCTATGTATTTGTTATTCCAATAAAATAACTAATAGTCAAATAATTCTGTGTAGTAATGAAGATATTTTTTAAAGGAGAGTTGAAAGAAATAAAGCAAAACCCAAATTCAAAGAAAGAACCACAGGATTCTCAACTGACATGAATTCTGCTCCTTAATGTTCCATGTGAGAGGGAGGGCTATCTGCAGCACAGCTAAAGAGAACACTTACCCCTGGCACTGAGCCCATGCTGTTCATCTGGACAGAGTGGTTCATTGGGGAGGCTGCACGAGGTCCCATGGGTGTTTGTGGCAACTGGACGTTCCCCAAGGACATGGGGTTAAACGAATTCATCCCTGTAAATGTACCCACGATGGTTCATTAGGAAAAGCACCCACAGGAAAACAGAATTACAACTTGCTAAATAAACTCTAAGTAAAATAAGATGGAACACACAGGCAACCGAAAACTGAAAAGAAATCACCCAATTAATCAATGAAGATGATGAAGGAACAGACTTCTCCACATCCAGAGAAAATGGCATCAATGTGGGGGTGGTGAGGGTGGCATGGTGAGGGGTTCGAGGGAAGGACAAGGACATGAAGGCATAAGGTTGGGTAAGACAGGACCAAGTAAGTGAGACATTAAATGAGGCTGAGGTAGAGCTGAGTCAGAGGGTAGAATACTGAACAAAGTATCATAGTAACAAAGAGGGTGAGGAGGTGCCCTGAAAGGACAGCACCCCCACAATCTACAGATGAGATGTTTCCAGAGACCAGGGCAAGCTTCTGTGCACACCCATACTTAACGCCTCTGGAGCAGCTGGCGCCCATAACCAAGGCTTCCCAGCTGTCTGCTGGGTTTACATTTACTGTTACAATCTGTGCTAAGACTCCAAACATTCTTTTAATTTTGCAAGCACTTTAAGCATTAAGAAGTGCCCAAGGGTCAGCCGTCCTCAACCCCAGCCTCCTGTAGTTCACAGGAGCAACACATCACTGAAAGACACTGCACAGCCAGTAAGTGTCTCCAGACTGTGGTGTCTAGTTCCTTCCAATTTATAACAATACTCTGTAAACTCTGAGTCTAAAGAAGCACCAGTTCAAATGAGTCTTAGGACCAACACTAAAATCTGACAGAACCCTGTAGAGAATTTCTGGAAGGTGTTGCCTTAGCGGTGCTGTAGTCGTGAGAAGGCTCAAAGGATGACTCTCTCACGGAGCACTACCTTCAACGACTACCCAGAAATGGTACCTTCAAATAACTGAGTGCCAGTGCAGACTAGGAAGACTTTCCAGGGAGTCTGTCATGTAAGCTTCCCCTCACCTTGAGAATTTTTTTAAACAAAATGAAAAACAATTACTAAGGAACAGCATTTAAAGAAATCTGTATTTACCCAGATGTGCTGGTAGGGAGGTTGCTAAGTGCATAACCAGAAAACATCTATTCCAATATTCTGCTGGTAAACAGCAGGCTCATCACACCCCACACCAGCAGCATCCTCCTATTTAGGCCCAAGTCCTGGACCAATCCCCAACACAGCATCCAGCTACTTTCCTAAGGCTCAATTTCTCTGACTCCCTGATTTCTTTCTCTTTTTTTTTTGAGATGGGGTTTCGCTCTTGTTGCTCCGGCTGGAGTGCAGTGGTGCAATCTCAACTCACTGCAGCCTCTGCCTTCTGGGTTCAAGTGATTGTCCTGCCTCAGCCTCCTGAGTAGCTGGGATTACAGATGTGCACCGCCATGATCGGCTAATTTTTGTATTTTTAACAGAGATGGGGTTTCACCATGTTGGCCAGGCTGGTCTCGAACTCCTGACCTCAAGTGATCCTCCTGCTTCGACCTCCCAAAGTGTTGCGATTACAGGTGTAAGCCACTGCGCCTAGCCTGACTCCTTGATTTCTTTCACCCCTCAAATCTAGTCCATCAAAACAAGTCCCTGATAAGTTTTTTTCCATAATATCAGCTTATCTACCATGTCTTTTCCAGGATGCAATACGAATACAACTTTTTTTTTTTTTTTTGAGACAGAGTCTCGCTCTGTTGCCCAGGCTGAAGTGCAGTGGCGCGATCTCGGCTCACTGCAAGCTCCGCCCCCCAGGTTCACGCCATTTTCCTGCCTCAGCCTCCCAAGTAGCTGGGACTACAGGAGCCCGCCACCACACCTGGCTAATTTTTTTTTGCATTTTTAGTAGAGACGGGGTTTCACTGTGTTAGCCAGGGTGGTCTCGATCTCCTGACCTCGTGATCCGCCTGTTTCGGCCTCCCAAAGTGCTGGGATTACAGGCATGAGCCACCGTGCCCAGCCCGAATACAACTTTTAAAATGATCTCTTCTACCTTCCCTCCCAAACTACTCTGCAAACCACAATAAAGCCTCTTTCCTCAGAGTCTTCTGGATAATGTCACCACCTTGTTTCACAATCTGGAAAAATGTCCTCCTGCTTGGGTCTCAATACTCAAGAGCTACAAGGTTTTCAAATGCTCCCTGCCCCGAAATAAAAATCACTGCTTCAATCAACCAAAAACCATAGGCTCTCTACTTAAGAAACTTTCAAGGTTGTTGAGACAGCTGCTGCCACCCCAACCTGGCACAGGACCTGTGTGTACACACTCTCCAGAAGTTGACATCCAGCCAGCTGGGCTTAACCCCTAGGGCCAGGAGCAGCCCGTGCCGTCTCCATGTCAGCCTCTGCAAGTGCTCAGCAGTCTAGGAGTGTCTTGCATGCCTCTCCTTCTCAGCATTGAGAAGCACTCCCTCCCCACATCTAGAGTGCTTCTTTCTCAGACTCTTCCTAAGACTAATGTACCATGCCCCCTTCACCATCCACTAAAAAAATAAAAAGCTGGGCTGGGCACAATGGCTCACAACTGCAATCCCAGCACTTCGGGAGGCTGAGGCAGGCAGATCACAAGGTCAGGAGATCAAGACCATCCTGGCTAACACAGTGAAACCCCGTCTCTACTAAAAATACAAAAAATTAGCCGGACATGGTGGCGGGCACCTATAGTCGTAGCTACTTGGGAGGCTGAGGCAGGAGAATAGCGTGAACCCAGGAGGCAGAGCTTGCAGTGAGCTGAGATCGCGCCACTGCACTCCAGCCTGGGCAACAGAGTGAGACTCCGTCTCAAAATAAATAAGTAAAAATAACATAACATAACATAACATAACATAACATAACATAACATAACATAACATAACATAAATAAAATAAAATAAAAAGCTAAGGTTGGGTGCAGGGGCTCTCATGCCTGTAATCCCAGCACTTTGGGAGGCTGAGGCAGGTGGATCACAAGGTCAGGAGATCAACACCATCCTGTCTAACACAGTGAAACCCCATCTCTATTAAAAATACAAAAAATTAGCCAGGCATGGTGGCGGGTGCCTGTAGTCCCAGCTGCTGGGGAGGCTGAGGCAGGAGAATGGTGTGAACCCAGGAGGCAGAGCTTGCAGTGATCCAAGATCACGTCACTGCACTCCAGCCTGGGCCACAGAGCGAGACTCCACCTCAAAAAAATAAAAATAAAAATAAATAAAATAAAATAAATAGCTAAAGAATGCTTCTTATCTCTTGAAAGATCTTTCCTATAATCTCCAAATTTCATACTATAAACAGATCCATACTACCTGTAGAACAATTCTGCTCATCAGCAAAAAGGAATGGAAAGAAGAAAGGACTAGAAAGAAATACACAGGGGGAGAGGAAAAAAAACGTGAAAAAAAAACGTGAAAGTTATGGCTGTTGAATGTTAAACTAAAATATGATTCACAGCAAATAGTTCAATACCTTGAGAAACTTGCATGCGATTCACTGGCAGAGACAGAGGTCCATCTATAGTAGCAAAACAAAAACAAAAACAAAACCACCCTAGTTATTTAATATAATCCTTGATTCAGGAATAGGAAATTTCTTATTAGGACTTCAAACTTAAAAGGGAAAACAGCCAATAGGTCCAAAGGCACGTGTGTTCCAATGCCAGCGGACCCTGTAAAGGGCCTTCCCAAGAGAGAAATTCAGTGTCCCAACACAGCCTGAGGCAGGTGGTCAGGGCCACTGCCACATCAACAGTTTCCGCAGAGCACGCATCAGAGATTCTAATTCTCTATTCTTAGAAATACACCCCAAACACGAAGGAAAACCAAGGAAACAGGCTAAGGGATGGCAGAAGGAAATAAAATGCTTACTTGGAGGTCTCACAGGTTGTGCCTGTGGAATCACAGGGGGCTGAGCCCCCGGGGCTGGTAAGGTTGGCTGGTTCCCCAAGATGCCTTGTTTATGTAAACGCGACCTCCGTTTTTCTTCTAGTTCTTTTTGTATCTTGTAGATTTTCTCTGCTAATAAGTGATAATATTCATCCTAAAAAGCAACAATATTCAATATGAAACAGTCAAAACTGTAAAAAGCAACTGAATGATCTGTGTTGTAGGTTCTAACTAATGAACTTCTTCATTGAGTACACTGGCAAAAGTAAGTATGCAAATACTTGATGCACCAGGAGCCCACATTCTTGCTAAATTCCCAATGACTTTATAGGATGTATCGAATAATAGGTACTAAATACACGTCCCATTTCATTCAAATGAACTTTTGAATATTCACTGATGCTAGCAATATTACACCACCACCTACTGTGAAAAATATATCCCATGGACATAATGTAAATTTATATATTCCATGTACCAATGTAACTAACCAAGAGAGTTCTGCAGGAAATTTGTGTCTTATCTGGGAAGTCTCTTTGGCCAGTGGCCTCAAGGTGAGGAGTTTCTCCCAACTACACAGATTCCACAATTTCTAGATAACAAAGCAGACAAATGCAGTGCTGTCTACTACAGATGCTGTAGAGGCCCGAGCACGATAAGCAGCAACCTACCCTGCTGTTGGCAGACTCGTACATGTCCCCTTCCACTTTCTTAGCATAGGCTACCAGGTTTTCCATGCGGCGATCCTTTAGAGCTGCGGGATCAGGTGTTGGGAAGATGGCTTGGACGCTGAAAGGATAACACATCTATCAAACTACTTTTTTTTCCTTTCTTCTTTTTTTAAAGACATGGGGTTTCGGCCAGGCATGCTGGCTCATGCTTGTAATCCCAGCCCTTTGGGAGGCTGAGGCAGGAGAATCACCTGAGGTCAGGAGTTTGAGATCAGCCTGGCTAACATGGTGAAATCTTGTCTCTACTAAAAATACAAAAATTAGCTGGGCCTGGTGGTGGATGCCTGTAATCTCAGCTATTCGGGAGGCTGAGGCAAGAGAATTGCTTGAATCCGGGAGGCAGATGTTGCAGTGAGCTGAGTGCCATTGCACTCCAGCCTGGGCGATAGATAGAGCGAGACTCCGTCTCAAAAAAAAAAAAAAAAAAAAAAAAGACACGGGGTCTCGCTCTGTCGCCCAACCTGGAGTACAGTGGCATGATCATAGCTCACTGCAACCTTGAACTCCTGGGCTCAAGTGATATTCCCACCTCAGCCTCCCAAGTAAGAAGGGAGGTACAGGTGCACACTACCATGCCTGGTTAATTTTTAAATTTTCTGTAGAGATGGAGTTTTGTTATGTTGCCCCAGCTGGCCTGAACTCCTGGGCTCAAGCAATCCTCCCGCCTCAGCCTCCCAAAGCACTGGGATTACAGGTGGGGGCTGCTGCACCTGGCCTGAAGCTACTCCCAATGCTGTCAAATGAGCACTACAAAATCAGGATCATGTATCTCTGGTGGCAATACACTGTGGAGAGAAATGCCAAGCCTCTCTTGCCCAGCATATCAATATATGAATGAAGTAACTCCCTGGAGACAATCCTGACTTATCAACTTATCTACACATCGAACACATCAATATATTGCTATTAACAAGTATGTGCTGGGTCATTTCCAGAATAACACGATTTTTAAATCCCTGATTTTTAAACTACTTACTACTAAAAAAATTTGATCAAAATAAGGAATGGAAAAAACTCAGGGAATATAAGTCTAGTTCATTTAAAATAACTAGCTCAACAAAGTTAGGCTTGGTGTGGTGGCTCATGCCACCCAGCACTTTGGGAGACCAAGGCAAGAGGATTACTTGAGGCCAGGAGTTTGAGACCAGCCTGGACAACATGGCAAGACTCTGTCTCTAAGAAAGGAAAAAAAAAAAAAAAAAAAAAAAAAAAGGCTGGGCGCAGTGGCTCATAATCCCAGCACTTTGGGAGGCTGAGGTGGGCAGATCACTTGAGGTCAGGAGTTTGAGCCCAGCCTGGCCAACATGGTGAAACCCTGTCTCTACTAAAAATACAAAAACTAGCTAGGGGTGGTAGCAACCACTTGTAATCCCAGCTACTCGGGAGGCTGAGGCAGGAGAATCGCTTGAACCTGGGAGGCAGAGGTTGCAGTGAGCTAAGATTGCGCCCTGCACTCCAGTCTAGGGTACAGAGCGAGACTCCGTCTTCAAAAAAAAAAACAAAGTTAACTTAACTTTCTGTTAACTAACTGTAAGGTGATAATGACATGCCATCTATACTCTAAACGCATCCAATTCTGAGGGGTCTCCACAACTAGAATCTGGAACTACAAAATAAGGTGAGGTTCTTGAGCTAACCCCAGCCGCCTCATGCAGCATTAAGGCCAGGCTGCACTGAGGGTCTTTGCCTCCGTGACAGGGGCTGTAAGTCAGTGCTCCTCGGCAGTATAGAGCCACCAATGCTCTCTTTGTCACCCCCGCTCACCGAGGACATGAAGTGCGGGAATCTCTGGCCTGCCTAGGGCTGCCAGAGTTCTACCAGCAGTGAGAGTGGCTCCCTAAATAAGCACGTGACTTGTATAGGATCCTAGGGTACTGTCATCTGGTAGTCAATGGGCAACACAGGAACAAAATCAAACATCTATGAAACTGTAAAACTGTTACGTACAGTTTATGCACTAGATGGCTCCGCAGGTCCTGAGTGACATGTTCGTGCCAGCCTTTCCTTACACCAGTGCTGGAAGGAGGAGCTGCTGTTGGTATAGTGCTGAGGGTTCCAATGTTACCAGAGTTGGAGCCATCGTTCATCAGTGGGCTACGGAGGAAATAAGGACACCTCATCCATCTACTGAAGCGACTCAAACATACTTTGTCTAATAAGGTTCTTCTACCACCACATGTGACTTCTAAAAGTTTAAGTCCGGAGAGTCAAGTAATGTATATAAATAAAACTTAAACTATGTTTAATCTATTATCTGCTCTACACTTACAATTAAAGAAAAAAAGGAAAACAGCATTCACCCCTCACCACACCATTTAAACTATTTTCTCTGCCACACATTTAGAAAGAATCAGTTTTGTGTGGTTCTCAGTCCACGCTCTTGTTGGACTGTCACTCAGAACTGAAACAGGGTCTTACTTTGTGGCCCCCAGGGAAGTCGGAAGAGCTGATTCTGAAATCAAGTTTGGGGGCTGCTGATCTGTTGTTATTCCTCCTGCTGGAATGTTCATTGGATTATTTCCTTTAAAGACAGAAAGAAATCAATCAACTCTTAAATTTTAATATATACTTCAAAGTTTTGATGACAGATAACTAACATGTCACCACATAAACAATTGGTGCTTATTTAAATAAGTGATTCTGGTCAGTTATAACAAGCACTGAGGCAGGAACCCCGAGTGTCATATTTTCAATAATGGTAATCAACGTGCACAAATAATCAGTAGACACCTCCCCACTCTACTTTGTAACCAAAGTAAGGTGTGTTTATGGAGATTAGCTGGTATCTAAGTGAAAAAGTTATAAATGATCCATATGCAGCCTCTAACTTTCATTCTGCTTCATTAATATCACTCCTGAGTGACTCAGCTGCACTGACATATACCTCTGTGTCTCCACCCCCAATATCAGAAAATAAAATCATAGAAATTAAGCTCAGGAAAAAAATACAGAGGTCAATTTGTCTACAATCTTCATATTAAAGTAAAGGAAGGCCGAGATTAATAAAGGTTAAGTTTGTCCTAAATTATACCATCAACAGGAGAGGAGTTAGATTAAGACTTGGGTCTCAGGACTCTAACCCAGTCTCCTGGCCACTATTAGTTAGACATTCACTGGGGCAGTTGTTTTCCAAAAGGCAACAAATAAGATGACTTTAGCTGGGCATATTTTAAGGAATAATTTTTAACCGTAAAATACTTCCTCTATTAGGAAAAGAACAAAACTAGCACAGCCAGCCAGCCAGCCAGCCAGTCTGGACTTCACAGACATCACGGCTTAGCTTAAGCCTAGATGTAAAGGGACTGTGTCCACTTAAAGAAAAATATTAAGGAAACCATATGCAGAAATGGCAAAAATCAAGGGTATGTGTGAGCAAATGACCAAAGGTGGGCAAATAATGAGCTGGGGTGACAAAAGAAATGCTGACATGTACAGCAGCCTGGGAAAAGAGTTTCCAGGGCTCTTGTCATTAACCTGCCGAAGTCCAGGCTGGTCACTTCCAACTGTGGGGTAGACCCTAACCAAGATGTGTGAGGAAGTGGCAAACGCAAGTTCTCCATCAAAGAAATGACAACAGTCAGCACGAGGGGTCCAGTCAGCATCCTGACTTGTGAGATCTGCATTCTGAGCCACATGGCACATTCCTTATGAAAACTGTCCAGAGAGAAGTGGCACAGCAAGCAACAAAAACATTGCTTCATTTGCAAATGCTGCTCTTTTTATAAGCATATAACATTTTCCTTGCATTAGACACTTCAGCTTTTTCCTGGGAGATTTTTATTTCAACCACTGTAGTAAAAAACACAAAACAAACTGAAAACTGCCTTGGGTTCCATCACTCCATTGCCTTTGCTACATCTGGACAAGTAAGAACGAAGTTGAGAGTTTCTTCACCTACCCAGGGGGTTGAGAGTCCTCATCTGCTGGTGGGTTTGAGGCTGTGCTGGTTGCTGGCCAGGAACCTGAGGCTGCAGCTGCGTCTGGGGCTGGTTCATGTAGGGGAGTCCGAGAGCAGCATAGGCTCGCTGCATGGAGCTGGGGTCTATGGGATTTGGGTTACTTAAAGAAGTGGCATTCTGTTGCCCTGTGCCAACAGAACCAATTGTGTTTTGAATTCCACTAGCTGGAGACCCCAGGATGGCTATAACGACAAACAGACAGACAAACGAGAAAGGTAAGTAAAAGGGAGAAGCCCACAAATGATTTAAAAACTATTGAGAAGCAAATACATTTCATCAAAATACTACACATGAATATCATAAAGCAGTAAAACAAGGCTAGGGAGAAAGGAACTGTGCTGAAGGACTCATGTATTCTGCCTAGCAGTAAGTGAGGAACAAAAAGTGAAAGAAAAGTGAAGTTTCTATCTTAGCAGGCAACAGATCATAAAATTTCACAGATAACACCTGAAAAAAATTAGTATGTTTTAAAACCTAGAGACTCCTCAAGAGGTCAGTTCCAGGGAGTGGCAAATGTGTGACAAGGGAAACGTCTGATTCTTTGGTGGGCAGCAGACACCTTGAGATGAACAGAGGAGCCCCCTCCTGCTGTTGACCCCAACCCTGTCCTTCACTGCTCACCTGCACAGGTACAGAGGGCTTAAGAGAAGGAGCAGAGATGATACCTCGTTGGTCAGTTTTGATTAATAAATCTATGATGTGCTCTTCTAAATCATATAATTGCAAGTCCTTGAAACTTACACAAGCAATGACAGCATGAACACATCCTTCTGACGGGACTCCTATGCAGCAGAGCACCATGCTGAGCTCTCTGGTTATATGAAGCTGTTTAAGAAATTCTGAACTTGAATGATTGACTGATTTGTTTGAAATTAAGGTTGGAGTGAGGCTTCGCAATTCCGCAAGGGTCTTGTTATCCGGGGCCACCTCAGCACCTCTGACATTCAGGAGGTGGCTCTGCCTCACATGGCCAACATCAGATTCTGCTACCCAGGCCCACTGCTGGCTGGCAGGGAAGCTGTCCCATTCAGCTAGCTAACCCCAGGAGACTAAAGGAAAAACTGGTGTCAACATAAGAAGCTCCATCCCAAAGGGCTTCCAAGGTAATGGAGAGACTACTCCAAACTTGCATCAACTTGGGCATTTCAAGGTCAATTCATCTACCCACCTACCTACCCACCTGTTTGCCTGCCCACTCATCCGTCCCAACAACCCAAATGTTGTGTGAAAATTTATCATATGGCAGAAGTTCTATATCATACTATTTATTCTTATTTTTGAGTTCCTTTCTAACTTCCACAAATTTTAGAGTCATGTTAAAAATAGCATCCTACAGTGTTGCTACTATAACACATCATTTTTTGATACATAAAACACGATCACAAAGTCTTTCTTTCAAATTCCAACCACTATGTGTAACAGTAATATTCTCACATTCAACCATCAGTGCACCTACAGTAACCCCAATACTTACCCAGAGCGACCTAATTAAACTAAAATGTGTGAAAAGAAAATTCCTGGTAATTATACATTCCATACTATTAACTTTTCTAAGAAGGATACTCAGATCAACTCACTAACACTCATCAGACACAATTACACACACCAAGCACTCATTATCATAAATGAAAAGCAACTCCCAAGGTGCACTTTATGACAAGTGTGTAGCTGAAGTCAGTCATGCACAATACCTTTAAAAGTATTCTAATACTTACTACGCCCCAAAACTTTAAACATGTGTACACCATACTTCTGAAATCGACATCTTACATTTTTAAGAAGCACTATGGTATAGAAATCAAAGTTACCAGTGATAGGATAGTTTATTTTTCTACAACCTTGCGATGTAAGAACAGGGCTACACTATATTTCACACACATGGTGATGCACTGTGGAGAGGAACTTAAAAGAAACAAAGTATGTAGCCTTCCATTTCCCAGTGAATGCTTTATTGACTTCTTCCTACAATATTTCCCTTTTATTGACACCTCCCCAAGTGCCATCTACTTAACTAAAATGCACCACCTTACGGTGAATGCTACTCCTAAGCCCACAGACACTTACAGGGCAGCCAATGCCTCATACTCACACAGGCCTCCCATGCAAGCTGCTGACATGGTCACTGCATTTTGTGTTAAAATCATCCATTTTCTAAAAGTAAACATTATTATATTTTTATTTTAAAAGAAAATATACCTATGAGAAGCATTTGCAACTCACCATTTCTAAAACTCACAAGCAAAGGAAATTAATTACGAACAAATAGAGAAGGTCTCTGCCATTTAAGCATGGCTGAATTTGAAGTCCAAATAATGCTATTAGATGAAATGACACAAAAACTGAAGGGTAAGGGTGCTCAGGCATTCACTGTGGGGTGACTGAAAGGGGAGTCATTATGTACAAGCCACCATCAACCGTACTGCCACCTCAAGGTGCTCCGCGTGCTCCATGGTGGTATTTCCGATCCCTCTCTGAAATCCCACAGTGCCTCCTGTACCGCTGCTTGTCTTTAGACACTGACCCTTCGTGTATTCACTCACTCACACGACAGACTCAGTGAGTACACTCTGCCAGGCTCCCAGATATGGTGTGGGCACAATCTCTGCATTCCCTGAGCCTAGAATCTGTTAAGAGGGACAAAAGATTATCTAATAATCACCTAACGCAACCAAACTGCACCTTGGAACCCTGGGACAGGGGAAATTAGGCTCATCTCACGTTCCCTGTGCATCCCTGAAAGGTGGGATTAACGTGAAACTCGGTTTTACTCTTCACCACCTGCCACATGGGTCACGTAACCTGCTGTGCAGCGTCCAGGGGATGTGTGAGGTATGGTGCAGTGGCCAGCACACCTTGGGCCCTCCCAGTGCAGCCCATGGAGTGCCTTGGAACTGAACACAAACGCAGGGAGAGCTATAGACAGCACTGCTCCATCTACCTGGCATCCCTAAGAATGAAGTTTCTCTACTTATCCTTTCCACATTATTGCTCCTTACCTCTTCCAATGTCAAGGCCGTGTGCTCATTTGGCCATTTTTACATCTTTTTTCCTTGCTAGAGCATAAAGCTTTAACTTTCAGGAAGCCACAACACACCTGCAGTGCACTAACACACCGGCTGGATTCTTCTGGGCCTATCAGGTAATACTCCTGCCCTGGATGTTTCCCTCTTTAAAGCTCCCCAGTGCCCTCAGCCTCACCACCTTCTGATGTAGCCAAGAAGGAGCCTATGGCCTATGAAAAAAAGGCCAAGTTTTGTAGCAGGCTTTCTTGGACTTACCTGCCATTCTTCATGCACAAAGAATGTTCCACTAAGAGGCCGGGTGCGGCCAGGTGCAGTGGTTCACGCCTGAAATACCAACACTTTGGATCACTTGAGGTCAGGAGTTCGAGACCAGCCTGGCTAATAACATGGTGAAACCCTGTCTCTATTAAAAATACAAAAATTAGCTGGATGTGGTGGTGCGCACCTGTAATCTCAGCTACTTGGGAGGCTGAAGCAGAATTGCTTGAACCTGGGAGGTGGAAGTTGCAGTGAGCTGAGATCGCACCACTACACTCCAGCCTAGGCAAGAGAGACTCTGTCTCAAAAAAAAAAAAAAAAGAAAGAAAAAAAGAAAAAAGAAAAAAAGAATGTTCCACTAAGAGGTTCCCTGTACAGTCTATGTCGCTGATGCAAAGCACTCAAGTTACTCAGACAACTTCAGCCCCTAATCATTTTTAATAAAACTGAACTCCATTTGGAAATTCAGTTAAAACAGACACGAATTAAATGCCCAAACTTTGCCAGGGTAGGGGGAGATACACCATGAAGCAGGGCAGTAGCTGCTACAGCTGATCAGTCAGCAGCACAACAGTGAGCCGAGGGGCCACCCAATGCAGGCCAGAAACACAGTGCTTGTGGAAGGCGAAACTTGTGTATGGGGAGGGCCAGCTGCGGGGCTTGAGTCCGCCTGGTTTCAGTATACCTGCGGGGTCCTGGAACCAGTTTCCCGAGGATACCAACACACTTAGATTTCTACTAAAAAAGCAATGCTAGAATTTATTCAGGTGGCTCACGCCTGTAATCCCATCACTTTGAGAGGCTGAGGTGGGGGAATCACCTGAGGTCAGGAGTTCAAGACCAGCTTGGACAACACGGTGAAACTCCATCTCTACTAAAAATACATAAAGTAGCCAGGCCTGGTGGCATGTGCCTATAATCCCAGCTACTCGGGAGACTGAGGCAGGAATCACTTGAACTAGGGAGACGGAGGTTGCAGTGAGCTGAGGTCGCACCACTGCACTCCAGCCTGGGTGACAAGAGTGAGACTTTGTCTCAAAAAAAAAAAAAAAAAAAAAAAAAAAAAAGAATTTATCCAGACCTGCAGACATCTCTACAAAGTTGCTGGTGGCACCACCGTACCTTGCGGGCATTGTGTGGGGGCTGGAGACTCAGCCTCCCATGAGGCACGGCCACAAGCCCTCAAGCAAAAGGCTTTCTTCAGAAGCCAAGTGACACTGGCACAGCGACATTCTCCTTGCTATCAAGGAGCAAAGTTGTTCAGATGTAACACATCACCCACGACCCTCTGGTACTTAAGTCAGGGTCAATCACGGCCACTATTCTCTCTACAACCTTCAGATTCTGCTCCTCGTTGTTCCCCATCCCACCACAGTCTGTCAAAAGAGGTGAAAATCTCCGAAGGGCCCTCAAGTGAACAAAGGGCCTGCTCCACACATACTCACTGGGCACCTGATGGGCTATTCGATGAGTGGCAGTTCAAAGGAGGGAGATCTTGATGCCATATAATGAAAGGAGGTTTTTTTTGGTTTTTGTTTTTTTGAGACACAGTCTTGCTCTGTTGCCCAGGCTGCAGTGCACTGGTGCGATCTTGGCTCATTGCAACCTCTGCCTCCTGGTTTCATCAAATGATTCTCCTGCCTCAGCCTCCCGCCTCAGGATACCGAGTAGCTGGGACTACAGGTACAAGCCGCCACATCCAGCTGATTATTTGTATTTTAGTAGAGACGGGGGTTTCACTATGTTGCTCAGGCTGGTCTTGAACCTGAGCTCAGGCAATCTGTCTGCCTCAGCCTCCCAAAGTGCAAGGATTACAGGTGTGAGCCACTGAGCCCGGCCGAAAGGAGGTGTTTTAAACAATCTGAGGCACCTACAGATGGAACATGTTGCCAGGTGAAGCAGTGGGTGCTACACTCATGGAGATGTCTGGCAGCAGCTGGGGCCATCGCTGACACAGCCGGGGCAGTGCGTGCATTAGGCTGGTTCTGGGGCCGACCCTGTGCACTTGCTTCGACAGTCCCTGGGGCACTCTGGGTTGGAAAACCCATGGTCTCTCTCAGAGAATGACTCAAACCCTCTGATCAGCACTGGCCCAGACACCTGGTCTTTCAAGGCATCCAGAGCAGTGCATCTCGGATTTTAATGCGCACACCAATCACCCGGGAATTTTGTAAAAATGCAGGTTTTAATATAAGAGGTCTGAAATAGGGCCCCAATTTCTTTACTGCTTACAAGCAACCTGGGAGTGCCTCTATGGCTTGCCTGAGGCCTACACTTTGAGCAGCCAGAACTTCACAAGTGAGGCAACATGAGCCCCAAGAAGGGAACCCGGTCACGGGTCCCCATAGCCCAGTCCTCTATGCCACTCTGTGCACTGAATTTACTGGAGGTCAGATGCCAGGACTGACCTAAGGTACATAACTTGGAAAGTCCTAATTATTCAACAAAAATTGAATAATGTTGTAAGGGATGGTTAATTCGAGATCAGTGATTATAGAATCTTTATTCAAGGAAAAATCAAATGAGGTTAGGCACAATGGCTCACGCCTGTAATCCCAGGACTTTTGGGAGGCCGAGGTGGGAAGATCACTTGAGCTCAGGAGTTTGAGACAAGCCTGGGCAACATGGTGAAACCCCATCTCTACAAAAAATACAAAAATTAGCCAGGTGTGGTAGCAGATGCCTGCAGTCCCAGGTATTCAGGAGGCTGAAGTGGAATGACTGCTTGAGCCCAAGAGGTTGAGGCTGCCATGAGACGTGGCTACGCCAGTACAAGCCATTCTGGGTGACAGAGCAAGACTCTGTCTCAAAACAAACCAATCAACCAAACAAAACTCAACTAGGCCAAAAAGGTAATCAATGGTCTGGGCTTCATTTCAAAGAACCTCAGATTAGCTCCACAGGTGATTCTGGAAGGTTCTCTCAGTAGAGAGATTAATCACAAAAGTTAGAGACTGCAGCATGTAAGACCAGCACTGGTTTGTGGGAAACACTGCCTAAAAAGCAGAGTCCTGGGGCCCCTAAGGCGGTCTCCATAGAGCGAGCACAGGTGGGTCTTGGCAGAGTCCCTGAGGCTTCCAGGAGCTCACCACAGTCCACCTTTCGGTTCACCTTGTTTGCACAGGAACCCCAGTCCAGTCAAATGCATGCCCTCACAAGCTGTGCACTGTGCAGATACTGTCCCCACTGTCTGAAATGTTCTTCCTTCGTTATTTTGTTTGCACTGGGCTCCACCAAGTCTCACGTTTCTCTATAAAGTAGTCAGGTGCACTCCAATTCTCCTCAAAAAGAATGTTGATTGCACTGACTTGTCTCTACCTCGGTCCTTTGAGGCAGGTCACCCTTACATTATTTTTAACATATATATCGTCTTAAAAACCCAACCTTAAGCCAAAGTAGGGTCAGATTCACATTTTCCTCTCCGGGTTCTTAACTCAAGAGTTCACACACCATAAGCATAATTTGCTTTGGGAGAAGAGAAAAAAACAACAAAATGTACAAGGATACTGCTGAAACCCTGTCAATCATACTTTTGTAAAAAACTACCAAAACCCTGCAGCAAGTTAATCTAAATCTTCCTTGTGACTTTATAAAATCATCCTGGTAATATCTTACATTATGACTAGTAGAAAACCTGTGGTTTACCACTTGAGAGAGCAGGCACACAATCAATTTTCACAACACTCCGGCAGTTATAAGGATGGTTAAAAAAAAAAAAACCACATACACTTCTTTTTTCTTTTAAAACAAAAACCACATAAGCGTTTCTTAAAAAGAGAAATCACAAAAGTTTACAACTGTCATGGTAGTATGTACTAAAAACAAAAGATCCCCAAAAAGCCACACCCTCAAATAAAAAGTTAAGAATAAAATTCTAGCTCATTATTCAGGGAATATTGTATAACTACAAACTTCACAACGAATATTTTGGCACTTAAACAGCCTATTACTGAAATGTGCCCTAAAACACAAGAAATTTAGCCATCACAATATACTAAAGAAAAAAGTTTTACAGTAATGTGGGAGGAAAAACAGACTCTATTCCATTAGAACAACTGTCCCAAATATCTGGTTCTAGAAGACCCAGGATTCCAGAATGTCACTTTATATAAGAGATGTCCAAGGAAATTGTTTATTAATTCAAATTTTAGTCAATCAAAGAATAATTTAATTGACTTTTAGGTAAGTGGTTTTTTTTTTTTGGAGATGGAGTTTTGCCCTTGTTGCCCAGGCTGGAGTGCACTGGCGAGATCTCGGCTCACCACAACCTCCGCCTCACAGGTTCAAGCGATTCTCCTGCCTCAGCCTCCCCAGTAGCTGGAATTACAGGCATGCGCCACCATGCCCGGCTAATTTTGTGTTTTTAGTAGAGACTGGTCTCGAACTCCCGACCTCAAGTGATCAGCCCGCCTCGCACCTGGTCAGGAAACTGGTTTTTAAAGGAAACTCGTTGTGGTTCTTCTGTAGGGAGGCAGATAACAGGCCCCATTACCCTGGCATTTCTCTTCTCTGTGACGGGGACACCCTGCTTTACATGAAGCAGGGTCAGCGTCAGCTCGCTGCCTACTCCCTTGTTGCCAGAGGGAGGTGGGCTGGACTCAGTAAAAGGAAAACCACGGGAGCTGTCACTGGCACGCCACTCCACAGTACTCTTAGGAACAAAGCACTTTTTCTATCTTTACGTGGGCCACTCGGAAACAACCAGAAAGAAAAGCAGCACATATTCTCTAGGCAGCTGCGGGGTCTTGAGGAAGGATGATCAAGAAGAATGAGAGGAATGAACACAGAAAACACAAAACAGGGGAGGGTGGCAAGATGGCGCAGACGAGATGGAGGAAGATGAGGAAGACTGTGCTGTGCTGGAAGGGTCGCTAAGGGAGCACCTCCAGCCAGAGGCGACAGGAGATTGAAGGGCACTTCCTAGCTGTCCAAAACTGAAGGACACACCCAAAGACCACGGTTTTACCTCTAAAATGACAGGAAGAGGGTTGAAAAACGGGAGGGAGGTTCATCCTTCTTACTGCCTGAAACCTACAAATGGCAGGGAGCCTCAGAGCCCCAGGCAGACCTCCCAACAAGCAGGGACTACTGCATAACCAGTCTTGCCAAGGGCTACAGACAACCTAGACAATGGCAAAACAACGGGGATGACCAGGATGCAGCAGCCCTAGGCAGAGGCTCTCACTGCCAAGCAGAGTGAATGGTCAGTTATACAAAGAGGTCTGGGGACCATAGATCCACGCAGAGGGAAACCCTCAAAAATGTTCGTGTGGGATTTTATACTGACCCAGCCTGACTGACGGAGCCTTCAAAATTTACTTCAGGATAAGGGCTTTCTAGTTCCAAAAGACGTGCCCCCTCTCTCCCCCTCCCCAAGACATCACCGCCATTATAGCGACATGGAATTTAAATTCTCACATATGGAGTAACTGTCAGGAAATACCATGTCTTCATGTTGGCTCAGTGAACAAAGTGACTCTGCTGTTCCATGCTGCTTCAAGTGCGTGTATGCAGGGGGCAGGGAGAGGGAGAAGCAGTGAGTGAGTCAGGGTCCAACATCATCACAGCAGTTCCTGACACAGAGAGCCTGCCTGCCCTCTGAGCTTCGCTGTACCTTGGGCCACTGTCCGCCCTACCTCACCCTGCACTCCGTGGCTCATAACCCCTGCCCACTCCCTACCTACTCTCTGAATTTTCTTTAGAAACAACTTCTATTCTCATCTCCAAGCTTCTCTGCCCCCGTGCTCACTTACTTTGTTGGTTTCGCTTGTCACTGGCATTTTTCAAAGGGAGGCAAACAGGACAGTCATGTCGTGTGCAGTTCTTCCAATGAGAGATGATTTGTCGTGAAGATGCACAATGGGCAACTATGACCAGAAAAACAACGAGATGTTATTTTTCTATCCAAATCGTCACACTTTCAATTATACCTAAATTATAATGCCAGATTCCATAAGAAAATGGTAACAAGTGTAACCATAACACAGTATAGGCAGTCCTCAACTTACAAACAGGCTGTTTTCCAAAAAGTTTGTAAGTTGACTGTTGAGAAATCCAAACAAAACTTCCCCTAAAAGCAATGTTATGAAGGATGGGTGATTAAGGGCAGCTCACAAAACAAAACAAAAACTATTCAACCTGGAATACCAAACAACTGCAACGAAAGGTAGAACAAATAATAGTTCTGTGATGTAACTATTTAAAATAAAAACGTACAATTATGTTTCAAGATGAAACCACCTAAACACTACAGTGAAGAAATACAGATAGAGAAGCACATGAGAAGCCTGCAGAGATTCTGAAAGGGACTCTGGGCACCTGGTGAACAAGTACTCGAGAGGGTAACTGACCCTGGTTATTCCGGCTTCATCTTCTAAAGGTCTAACCTTACCCTTCTCTGCTTCTCTGTTACGACAGGGTTACTCTGGGGACTCACAAATGTCACAATGGGAGACAGGGAGACCAGGGGTAGATTCTCCCAAGGTTTATGAGCATAAGAAGAGAAGGAAAGAGAATAAAGATTAAAGGAAAGTACAGCTGTTAACAGGGAACACTTCCTTTGGTAGAAATGAGGTGTCTGCAGTAAAAGGGGAGACAGAGGGCACGTGAAGTTCACCACCTCCCCTGGGATGATACAGTGCATAGTTCCCCATGTCATTGCCAGTCACCCAGGACAACTTCACTGCCATCTGGACTTGCCTCAAGACACAAGACAGAGGAGCAAGGCCGCAGGCCACCAAGACAGATGCTGGGGTGCAGGAAGGGCGTGTGCCTGCACATGCATGTGCTACGTTCGTTGCCCAAAAGAAAACCACGATCTAGACATTCACAACAAAGACAGTGCTCAAGAAGTGACCAACATCTTCCGTGACAGAGGAAGGAGGAAAAGAACAAAATACAGGGCACAGCTTCAAACAGCAGAAGTTCACAGAGTATCAGAAAACCAAATCGCCTTTCTCTTCAGTAGATAAGACTTCCTGGAGCACCTGACTGTCATTGTGTGGGGAACGTGAGCGCAATATGTTTTGCCACACCAAATGGAAGGTAGTAGTCAGGCTGCCGGAGCCTTATGAACCAGACAGCTGCTGTAAGAACAATAAAGACAAATTCTTCCTGAACTCTGCCACTAGGAGTTCCAAAAACAGCACTTACCTTGGCAGGCTTTCCCAGCCTGACAATGCGTCATGTGATTCAAAACGTTTTTCATGGTTCGACAATGTGGGAGCGAGCAGGCCCGAACCTCTCCGTTTGCTTGCTCTCGTCTCTGACACTTATGAGCATGAAGCAGTAGAACCAGCTGCTGCTGTATCAGTTTGCGTTTTTCAGGATCTGCAGTGGGGCCCGTTGCAATTGCTTGTGTGGGTACAATTCCCACTGATGTTTGCATCTGAGACTAAAATAAAGCAAAATAATAAAAATACTTTAACCTCTCAGAGTTCCAACTCATATTCATTAATTATTTCTCAAACAAAAGCAAAAGTTGATGGATAATACGGACCACAGAGAGAAGAAGGCTGGTGTAGTTCTCTAATCCACTGATGACTTTAAGAAGATTCAGAACCACAGAAATCAACCCAACTCAGCAGCAAGGCTGATTCAAGTTCACTTGTATACAATTATCATCCAAGCAAGACAATGGCTGGCTCTTCACTGTAGCAACCAAAACCCAACTCACTCTACGATGTACACAACTACAGGAAAAGCTGTGTATTATATCAGCTGGACCATATGAAACTGCTGCTTCTGTATGTCCCAAATGGCCAAACACTAGCAATTTCATAGGGTTCAACATAATTAAAAAGATTGCCAAGGCCCAGCCAGTACATTGGCTCACGCCTGTAAGCCCAGCACTTTGGGAGGCCGAGGCGAGTGGATCACGAGGTCAGGAGATCGAGACCATCCTGGCTAACATGGTGAAACCCCGTCTCTACTAAAAAATAGAAAAAATTAGCCATGCGTGGTGGCAGGCGCCTGTAGTCTCAGCTACTCCGGAGGCTGAGGCAGAAGAATGGTGTGAACCTGGGAGGCGGAGCTTGCAGTGAGCTGAGATCGCTCCGCCACTGCACTCCAGCCTGGGCGAGAGAGACTCCGTTTCAAAAAAAAAAAAAAGATTGCCAAGGCCTGACCAATTGCAACGTACCGCAAACATCTGATGTAGCAGAAGGAATCAGAGCTACCTTTTGGATTTCATTATCACATGACTAGAAGGGCAACGCCTGCAGCTTAATTTCACAGCAAACACTACCTCTCCTAAAGACTAATGACACTTAGCCTTAATACAACCACTCAGTACAATGGGAAATGCATTCCTGTCCTATGCTTTGTTTCTCATTAAAATTTCCACTCAGACAGTTGATAATTTTTAAAGATTTGGTGATCTGCTAAAAATACAGAAAGAGTTTGCTTTCAGTTGCCTGAAATAACAAGCCAAACCAAACAAACCGTTTAACAGCAAGGAAAATGGAAAAGGGGACCCGTAGAGTCTTATTCTTCATAAACTACAAGCATTCTTCAGATAAACTTAATAAAAAAGACTTAGGCAATAAGAGAAGTGTTCCTAATGTGCAACAGTATCAACCAGTTCCAAGATTTCCAATTTTCTCTAGTACTCTGATATTTCCAGTTTGCTTCCACAACCCTCATTACCTCCCCTAAAGTATGCCACTCTGATTTTTAAAAAAATGTATGAATCAAAACTGTACATTCACAAAGAGAGGAAACTATAAAAATAATTTTTAATGAATCAAAGCTCATTTTTAAAAGGTTATAGAGTGTTCTGTTTCAGTTTTACCGTTATGAGAACTAGAAAATAAGTGTGTAGAAAAGCTGGGTGGCTGGGCTTGGTAGTAAAATTCTTGGAAGTTTGAGAAGGACCCAAAGCAATTCTGAGAAGGACCCAAAGCAAAATCAGCATCCTAGCTGAGAAGCAGAACACCATGAATGCAGGGATCAACTCCTAAAAGAAAATAGCGTCTTTCCCTTACGTTTATTTTTTCTTGATTATGAAAGTATATATATACACTGCAGGAATTTTGGAAAGCTAGAGAACTACTACAGAAATAATTAACAATAATTAAAATCCCATTATCCTGGAGTCCACTATTAAAGTGTTGACAGGTTTTCTTCCCCTTCCTTTTTCTATATAAATGCTTATGTATGAACCATAATCAATAGAGCCTCGTATCTCCCCTGCAACACACACGTTTTGCTTAGTGTTTTTCCATGTTCTGCCCCATACCACTAAACTGTCTCAGACAGTGGCTGGGACGACTTGGAATGAACGGCATGTTACTCTACAACTTTACACTCATTGAACTAGTTCTTGTTATGGGGCATAAACTGGTATCCCTGGCCCCCTCCTTTGTTTTTTATAATTGTAAATAAAGCTTCAGTAAGCAAACAGCCCTTAAACTGCCCCTGCAAGCATGCAATACTGGCATTAAGTCCACTGCTCAACTGGCTTATTCCTGTGGATTGGAAGGTCCATCCAGAAATCAACAGGAATGGAGACACAGAAGAATGGGAGAAACACAAAATGAGCCTCATTTAGGTCTCTTTCTTTTACATTTATGAAAATTTCAAACATACAGAAAAATGGAAAGGAAAGGATATCATCATTAAACCTAAGAAAAAGAACAATCCTTCTTGGGTATCAGCTAATACTGAGTCATATCCTAATTTCTCTAGTTGTCCAAAACACATCTTTTATAGCTGGTTTGCACAAATCAGGACTCCATGAAGGCCTACATCCTGTACTTGGTTGTTCTTAAGGTTCTTAATCTATTATGTCTTCCATTCCTTTACTCCTGACACTACCTTTGTTGAAGAGACTACATAGTTGTCCTCGCACTGTTTCTTAAAGTACAGAAATATCACCAAAAAAATTACATAAAAATTAGGCAAAAATTTTACCTCTACAAGTAAATTATAAGCAGGCTGTTCTTAATTCACCAAAAATTAACACCCTGCTTTTCATTTGGGATTTAAAGATTCTTTTTTTTTACATTTCAGAGACAAGGTATTGCTATGTTGCCCAGGCTGGCTTCCAGGGCTCAAGTGATCTTCCCACTTCAGCCTCCCATGTAGCTGGGATCACAGATGTGTGGTGGCACCCAGCTGGCTTGTATTTATTTATTTATTTATTTTTTGAGACAGGAGTCTCACTCTGTTGCGTAGGCTGGAGTGCAGTGGCGCCATCTCAGCTCACTGCAACCTCTGCCTCCCGGATTCAAGCGATTCTCCCGCCTCAGCTTCCCAAGTAGCTGGGATTACAGGTGTCCACCACACCTGCCTACTTTTTGTATTTTTAGTAGAGATGGGGTTTCACCATGTTGGCCAAGTTGGTCTCGAACTCCTGACCTCAAGTGACCGGCACGCCTCAGCCTCCCAAAGGCCTGGGATTACAGGCGTGAGCCACCATGCGAGGCCTGGCATGTATTTTTAATAGTGTCTTTTGCACTACACCTGACCATATGTCAAAACGGTATGGTTGGAAACTATATGGCAAATTTAAAACTTGGTCTGTTATGTGTCTACCTCTGGATGGAGGACAAATGTACAGTTTAATGAGCTCTACATATTGTTTACAACATGCATCCCAAAAGCCATTCTGAGGGTGAAGCTGAGTCAACGGTGGAATGGAAAATGTCTTACGACCCTGTGTCTGGCCCTCCCCATGGAATTCTGTATATTTGTCTGGGACTAGCTTAGTTTTGCAAAGTAGTTACAAATACAGGGGCACACTTACTTTCCTCCTCTTGCAGACTGGTGTTCAATGAGCCATGAGAGTTAGATGTGAACTGTAGGTGGCCCCCAAATCTGTCAGAAGCATCCTTCAGACTTCCCCAACCTCCCTGCCCAGTTCCCACTGGCAAGCAGGCACTAAGGATGGAGGGAGAGTACTTCAGAACCCCCCTTTAAAGCACAGAACAGGCCGGGCGCGGTGGCTCAAGCCTGCAATCCCAGCACTTTGGGAGGCCGAGACGGGCGGATCATGAGGTCAGGAGATCGAGACCATCCTGGCTAACACGATGAAACCCCATCTCTACTAAAAATTACAAAAAACTAGCCGGGCGAGGTGGCGGGTGCCTGTAGTCCCAGCTACTCGGGAGGCTGAGGCAGGAGAATGGCTTGAACCCGGGAGGCGGAGCTTGCAGTGAGCCGAGATCTGGCCACTGCACTCCAGCCTGGGTGACAGAGCAAGACTCCGTCTCAAAAAAAAAAAGCACAGAACAAAGCCATCGTCGTGGAAGCTGCCCCAAAAGTAATCTACATTTTGTGTGATTTTGTTTTTCTAAGAGCCAAGAAAATTTTGAAAAACAGTAAAAATAAAGGGGCACTCTATGTTGCCAGTTACTGAAACATACTACAAAGCTAATTTCTTTACATAAGTCCAGAAACAGACATATGTATACATCAAATTAGCATACAGAAGTCCCCGCTTATCCTCAGGGGACAGGTTCCAAGAACCCCAATGGGTGCATGAAACTTCAGATAGTACTGAATCCTATATATACTGTATTAGTCCTATACACACACACCTATGCTAAAGTTTAATTTATAAATTAAGTATAGTAAGATTAACAATAACTAATAATGAAATAGAACCATTATAACAATACACTATAATAAAAGCTTCATGAATGTGGTCTCTCTCTCTCTGAACACCTTATTGTACTACACTCACTTATTTTGGGATTGCTGGTAAGAGAAACCCCAGAAAGTGAAACCCCTGATAAGAGAGGACGACTGTCTCCTAAAGGTGGTGCTTTATATTCAAGAGTGGTGAGGCATCTTTGGATCCTTATCTTCTATTAAAAAAACAAACAAACAAATAAAAAAACACTTCATATGGACTAAATTGAATAAAAATGGATTAAAATGGAGAGAAAAATTTAAAATACTTTTAGGACGCGAGGATGAGAAAGTCTTCTTAATGTAAACACATAATAAAGTTTAAAAAGTGAAAAACTGAGAGCAAATTTGTTGGTTTTCTTTTGTGCAAATGCTCTCAATAAAGAAAGGACACTATCCCACTAAAAAGTTGGGCAAAGAAAATGCAAGATACCTCACAAAATACAAAGAAACAACAAATACAAAAATGTTCTACACCTTGGTGCCGAGGCAACACAAGGGAGAGAGGTATCGTTTCTCAATGAAGAGGAGCGCAAGCACTGGACAGCCCAGGCAGGAGGCAGGCAGACTCCTCTCTACCTCCTACTCAAAAATGAACTCAAGGTGGAGCAAAGACTTCAACGTAAGAGTGACAATCATACCATTCATAAAAGAAAACCAGGAATAAATCTTCACGACCTTGGATTAGGCAATTTCTTAGTATATCACCAAAAGCACAAGTGATAAAAGAAAAATAAAATGATTTCATAAAAAATTAGA